GCCTGGCGGAGATGTCTAGAGATACTTCTCAATTTCTGAGAGTGTTGTCTTGCAACCCACGTCTCCATTTTCCTCCTAGCTTTATGCGCGGTTACTCCTAGAGCTGGCTCAGGACCAACGAGCTTGCTGGCTGATCCTGTTTTCGCCAGAGTGTCCGCCGTCTCATTGCCCCTTATCCCAGCGTGCCCCGGTACCCATATTAACGATACCGGATGCCTCGCTGCGAGGCAATCCAGAGCCTCCCTGCATTGCAATACAAGACTCGAAGTAATCTTACATGCACTTAGTGCTTTCATTGCAGCCTGGCTGTCGGATAAGATTGTTATTCTTCTCCTAGGCCCACCCTCCTCCAGAATGTGAGATACACAAGCCAGAATCGCAAAGATTTCCGCCTGGAAAATGGTGGTGTACTCACCGAGAGGCAGAGATAGCCTAGTTCTAGGTCCAGAGACCCCAGCACCTGAGCCCTCTTCGGTGACCGAGCCGTCCGTGTACCAGACCTGCCCGCTCACTTCGGAGAGTCCTCGGCTACCGGCGTCCCACTCCTCCCTCGTTGGGTACTCCACAATAAACTTGCGGTTGAAGCGATATTTAGGGGTAATACGATCACCCCTGCTTAGAAGGACGGGGCCCTCCCTTTCTAATTCTACTAATATGGCAGTATGCCCCTTGACCGGATTCAAGAAAGCCCAGCTACCCTGACTCCACAGTCGATGAGCGACTACTCTCGCTTCACCGCGGATCACCAGATCCAACGGTGGGAGATCCAACAGAGCTTCCATTGCACTCAATGGCGTTGTTCGCACTGCGCTTGTAATGCTAATACAGGCCAAACGCTGAATTTTACTGAGTTTGGCCTTAGTTGACTCAGTTCTAATGCAAGGCCACCAGACCAGGGAGCCGTACAAGAGAGATGGACGTACTATCGTCGTGTAGAGCCAGTATACCACTTTGGGTTTAAGCCCCCACCTTACACCGACAACACGTCTACAAGCCCACATCGAATTGCGAGCCTTGCTAACCTTGTGTTCCACATGCTCTCTCCAGTTCAGTTTGCAGTCCAGTATAATTCCCAGATATTTCACTGACTGGGACAAAAGTAATCTAGTCCCAAAGAAGGTAGGCATGACCAGTCCGTCAAGCCTTCTTCTCCTAGTGAATAGGATCAGCTCGGTCTTTTCAGCATTAACAGAAAGATCGACTTCCCTACACCACGATTCCACGGAGCGCAGAGCGCCCTGCATAATTTCCGAGACTGTTCTACAGAAACGCCCCCTAACCACTATGCTTACGTCATCAGCATAGGCTTGCGCGTAGACACCCATACTGCTGAGCCTAACGAGCAGTTCGTTCACCACGATACACCACAGTAGGGGTGACAGAACTCCGCCCTGAGGGCAGCCTCTAGCTACGTTCACGCTGCAGCTTACGTTATTCAGCATAGCTGTTGTTACCCGACCCTCCAGAGTAAAGAGGACCCAATCTATTAGTATTGATCCAACCCCGTGTCTAACCAAGGCCTGTCTGATAGAGTCGGTTGTGGTGCAATTAAATGCACCTTCAATATCTAAGAAGGCCACGAGTGCCACTTCTCGCTGATCTAGAGTCTTCTCCAGCCTCCCGACCAGATTGTGTAAGGCCAGATCAGTCGATTTTTCAGCTTGGTATGCAAACTGATTTGCATGAATGACACACCTTTATGGGGCACTAACCATCGTTAAGTCGTCGCGTTGCAAAAAGTGGGCGACACCGACGTCGACCAATATAACGCTAAACGCGAGTTTTTTTACAAATCAACAATTTAGCGCCATCAGTTAAATATCATTCAAATCGTTTATTATTTTGAAACTACACTAGTTTCTGTCTTATTGGACATGTACACCGTCAGCTATTCATGGTACACAATCCACTGAAAGCACTTATACAAGGCAATACGATCAGAAGAGACAAAATGTAGTTGACGTTGATGATGGAACTTTAAAAATGTTTTATCGAAGTTAGCCTTTCGTGAAGAAAAGAACTGTAAGTACAATGAGGTTGAGCTAACTGAAACATCACACGATTTTGTTGGTTACTACACGAAATGTTGTAAAAAAGTGACTGCTTTGGGAAATAGATACAATGAAGAATTTAGAGTTTTTATACTGAGAATACAGTAAGTACACAATATATTGTATATATAAAATGATACTTGGGAAGTTTCGCAATTTTGAGTATTTCCCGGGCTGACGGAATCTACCCAAAATCGTTTTAATTTTATTTGGTCAATGACACAACAGGACAGAGAAAGAGTGGAAGCGACAGAAGTGGAATTCTTCCGAAGACGCTACGGAGTTTATCGGCTACAGAAGATCAGAAATCATAAAATAAAGCGAAGAATGGATGTTCTAATATCGGTGAGAAATTGACAGACGCAGATGAAGGTGGTATGGTCGTGTGAACACGATGGCTGATAGTCGATGGCCGAAAATTGTTTTAACTTAGAATCCTCCTTTTAGAAGGAAAATATTTAGGCCTCCAGAGGATTGGGAAGCGCAAGTTGAACGACACATTCAGAGAAGAGGTCTAGAGACAGAGAGACATGGAGAAGAGGGTGCCAGAAACGGCCGTCGGATCAGTAACAAGCTCGCTGGTATATACTCGTATTATATATACAGGGTGTTCATTCGATATCTTCCCACCACGGATTTATAAAGGGGGACAACTTTTTAATCAAAAACTACTTCACCCCTTTCACCCTTTGCTCCCCAGGGTCATCCCCTTGAAAATTTTAAAAGACAAGGGGTATCGAGTAATAGCTTGTTTGAAAGGTCTTTCGAAGTTCTTTATTTTGACGTTTGATTTTTTAAAATTGGTAGATTCGTTTTCAAGGAAATTAGAAAAAACTTTATTTATCTTGATTTGATCAGATAGAAAACAAAAACGCACGAAAACGTCACCTTTTATTTCAATAAGAGTTCAAAATGTTGCCCGTTATTGGCCAAACAATGATATAGGCGATGTTCAGATTCCTGGCGGATATTTTCAAAAACATGTTGTGGGATATCATGGCAGCTTTCGATGATGCGCTGACAAAGTTCATCCAATCTTTCAGTTTGGGGAGTAAACACAATAGGGTTTCCATTCTCTTCGATTTGGTTTCCAATGTCTCCATTCAAATTTTCATTAATAAACAATAGCCCAATCACTTTGTTTCATAAAATGCTTGAACATAAATTAATTTTTTGGGGGACTGGCTATGCCCTTCTACAAAAGCATGACAATTTTTATTGCTCCCACACCTGCAGCTATGCTTATTAACAAATTCATTTAGATAAAATGTTCATTCATCACTGAAGCAGATATTCTTTACATAAATTGTATTATCATTAATCGCTGCAATCATGTGTTCACGAAACTCAACTCGTCTATCGAAATTATCTTCGGTTAAATCTTGCAATATTTTTATTTTGAATGGATGAAATTAATGGAGTTTAGTAGCTATGTGTACAGGGCCTAATGAAATAACAATCTCAGCAACAATTCTGCGTAATGAAGTATTAGGATTCATTCCAAAATTACCCAAAACTTCAACTTGAGCGGCTTCATCAAAAACTTTCGGATGATTACGTTTTTATTTGCAACAGATACCTACAGTTTGAGTAAATTTAGTAACAAGGGCCAAAACATACCTATGCAAAGTTATGACAAGTAACCGTCAGCAAATTAAATTCTTTCTTTTCGTTAGCAACAAATAATTAAACAGGTATAACAATAAATGCAGTATGCCCAGGATATCTGTGTTGATGAAGAGAATGCGGAAAAAAATTCAGGTTGTTATTTGGATGTTGCCACGTCTAATCTTCCGAATTGCTGTTTATGTTGGTAGTTTCCGTTTTAAATTATAAACTAATTGTAGATTTGGAAAACCCTAACTGTCAACATTTTGAACATTCATTGAAATAAACTGTGACTTTCGTGTGCTTTTGTTTTCTATCTGAACAAATTAGGATAAATAAAGATTTTTCTAGTTTTCTTTAAAACCAATTTGACTGATCTTGAAAAATCAAACGTCAAAATAAAGGACTTCGAAAGACCTTTCAAACAAGCTTATACTCGATACCCCTTGTCATTTAAAATTTTTAAGGGTATGACCCTGGGGGGCCGAGGGTGAAGTAGTTTTTGGTTACAAAGTGGTCCCATGTGACAAATCTTTTGACGTATCTTGGCGTGTTTTCTCTTAATAAGTGGTTTTTGATAAATCCGTGGTGGGAAGTCTTCAAATGAACACCCTGTATAGTTCTTCCCAATATAGACGTTGTAGTGGTACCGTTAATCCTTCCAAGTAGTGTCGTGATAATAGTCCAAAACACAGTTTAAAAATAAGAAGGAAACGTGATCTTACAAGTTATCTTGGTACTGGTACCGAATTATCAGTTTTATTCTTTAGTCGCATTGGCGATGTGGCATCTAATGAAAAACGGTACAGCCCCAAAAGTGCTATTCGAAACATGGTAAGCTACATTTGCAATGTATTTACGTGGACAAAATCGTTTGCCGCAGTGTACGAATCTTTATTGATTTTGATGGCTAAAACGTGGTGAGATTTTTGAGGAATATTATGTGTCTGTTTGCAAAGCCAAACCAAGTAGCTGAACATCTAGGGTTTAATCTAGTTCCACTTAGCTTATAAATCTCATAATTTCTATCATTTATAATCTTGAAACTGATACCAGTTATGAGTAAATACGAGGATCTACTTTACTTGATAAATTTATTGATTTTTATTATTTAGACCATAGCTGCTTTATTACCAACCCACCAGCCGACCTTTGCGGTGTTTACCAGGGTTTACACAAGGATACTCCCTACTTGCTTTAGTGGAGGAGTTGATACAAGAATATGAATTCCTATGATTGAAGCTAGAGAGCTTTGTTCATGCAACCATTTATATCAAAATTTGATGGTGTTAATCCATTTGGCCGATTATATGCGTGAGTGATAACACAGTAAAGCTAGAATATAATTCATAAGCATATATTTCTCTATTATCACCAACTAATTGTACATGCTCAAAGGATATAAATCCTCCCACAGCTTGACACGATCTTCGTACATCCGTTCTTTCATCACCAATTTTTCTCCAATATCCAAATACTTTTGAGTATCTAAGTTGAATGTATCCCATTTTACGTTATCAAGTGTTGGATTGCGTGTTGGTGTTGGATTTCTGAAAAAAAGCATTATATAAATTATTTTGTCATCACTCTTGGCTTAGTGTCCTATACATAGGGATATCCGTCTATGCGTATTGCCACTTTGATATTCAGTACCACTTAGGATATGTGTACAAAATCTTTAAGCTTTATTCATGTATTAGGTGATCAATTTCCTATAAACAGTCCAAGAAGGACCCTTTTAGTCCTTCGGTGCATTACATGAAAAGTAGCCACATCGGTGGTCTTTTCCAAAGCACAATGTAAATTATGAAACGAATTTATTAAGTCAGTATATGGAAGTTACTGTTAATTTCAGCTTTCATGCTTTATATTGCACTTTGAGAAAGAGGGCGGGAACATTAGTAAATTTCTGAACCTACATTCTAAATCTGTGGTTCTACTCGAAAACAGACGGAGAGAAATAGTTGTATGTCTATATGACATCTGAAGAAATAGAAAGAATGGCTAGAGAAACACGATCTGTTTGCTTACCCTGTTTTAGCAAAATTTGTATGCAGCGTTGTCAATGTTTGCACCATATCTATTTCCGGTCTTGGTGAAGTAGCATTGAACCTCGGGAATAATCTTTGGATGTAGAAGAGATATATCAGATCGTCATGATGTACCACCCCTATAAAGTAGAGCAATTATGTCGGGGCTATAAGGAAAGTCAAAAGAAATGGTCAGCGCAGATTTATGTCAGAGGGAGAATCGTCTTTAAGCCTTTTTACAATATTCGCACAAAGAAATTCTCTATCACTGTTACTGAAATTGCTCGGCAAATACTTTTTGAGTTTCAGCAAGTGGATGGTGGTTGAAAACGAATAATATCTGTACTTGAACTCTGTCTCTCTCTCTCCCTATGCATACTCCTTTATGTTCCGTATGGCTACAAACACAAACATCTATTGAGCTATATGAATAAACAGCATTTAATGATAGAATGAACAAATTCTCACTAAATCCTGTATTTTGAGGAGAAGTAAAGTCATTTAAAAAAAAAATTAGGTACCTTACCATAAGGAACAGTGTTGTTGGTTCCAGGAAGATAAAAATGGCTGTATCTACCTTGGAAACTGAACCTGTAATAATAAACGGGTTTCTTGTTGTATTGTGCCATTAGCTTGACAGCTCTATTGATAGGGAATGTTTCTATTGAATCTGAATAAATCTGAAAATAAGATCATCGCAGGTAATATATGTATTGGATATTCAGCAGGTATAGATTTTCCACTCTCTTTTATAATTATTACCCTATCGATTCATCAATAAATACCCTGAGTGCCATAAAAGGTACCAAGTGGTACAAATTTCTTATTAGTATGGAAACCGTGGATTAGAATAATTCGATTTTAAATTAGAAATGTTAAACTTGTAGCTCCTATACACTATACTGGAAAATGATGAAGCAGTTTTAATGGCACTTCAACATTTTTTAAAACGGAGAAAAATGATGTTTTAAAACCAAATGTTGATGACGTTTTGATGAACTTGAACTGTGAATTGAACCTCTCACTTTTGACTGCAAGGATACTGCAGTGGGTAATTGCGTTCCAGTTTTCGGAGCATATTACCCAATAAATATAACTTTGCATTATTCAAAATTAAAACTAGCTTTAAGAGCGTTTGAGGAACACATACACGCTGTTGCACTTTTTTTGTGGAAGAACTTGAAAATATCTACTTACTTTACCCAAAGCTTCTCTGTTACTCTTACTAATTGGCTTGTCATCCAAATAAAATTTTCTTATAGCTCTGCTGACTTTCAAAGACTGCTTAGTTCCCCTTTCGTATATGAAACTAATCGGGGCTATTCTATCCCAATCTTCGTTCATTTCCTTAGTCAAGGTTTCGTTGTTGACAACATCTGATGGAAAGAAATGAAGCATTAAATGAAACGGTCCAGAGTACAGACAAGGAATGTGAGAATTCTAGAAGTAATCCGAAAAGTTTCGATAGAACATGCGTAGTGTGCTTTGTATGGGCGAACTTTGACTACGAGAAGGTGTTAAAAAGTACTAGTAGCTTGCAAGCCAGTGGCGCAAGTATTTTGAAAAAAAAATAGGGTAATAATATCTAAGCCAATGCAGCTTCAGCAATGCCAGTTTGTAATGAAATGCAAACCTTGTTCAGGGCGACACAAAGTAGCGAAAAGATGCCTAGGAAAATGTTTCCGATCCGACAAATTCGGATGAAAACTTTACACGAAAGCTTGGCAAAAATAGGGTACATTGGATTTGGTAGAATTTCCATCACTGTCACTGGACACATTCAGATAATGAGTTACAAAAGTAGGTCAAGTAATGAAAACAGGCTAGTGATATTTAACAAACTCGTTTTGTAAATTATAGAATCTTTACGGCTTGGCTGCCTCAGAGAAAATTTGCCCACTCGTGCGTTTTGCTCTTCAAACAATTCGGGGAGCACATAGTAGCAGTTTCACGGTTATTGGTAGAACTAGAGGAATTTTTCCCTCACACACACACATTTGCAGTTGGCCTGTATGCACCGTGGTTGTTTATGTTAGCTCACAGACATACTTTACTCAGTTTTGTACTATTCGTCAGCTGATTGTCTGGGCGGTCCATAAGACCTTTTCCCATTAGTCACTCTCTAATGTACGTAAGTCGAATATATCAGTCCTGGTTGCGCAAAACCAGACAATGACAAAGAGAAAGGGAAAGAAAATAAAAAGGGGAGAAAAGCAAAGAAAAACATAGTTTAAGAGAATACTCAATTTTGTCTCACCACCTTGAACATTTTTCAATCAGGTAGTCTTCCACATTTGTGCTTTTCCCTGTCAGTATGGTAATTTGCTTGTCACGGGCGTGTGATTTGAGATTAACATTTTGTTGATATTCGATAAACACATAGTAGTGGTTCCATATAGCTGAAATATCGATAGGTGGTGTTCAAAGTGAGGTGCTGAATCGTCCAGCTCATATGTGTGCAAGAATGGCAGCTACATTAAAAATTGTCATGCGGCGGCGTGCACAATGGGAGCTGTGGGCAAAAATGGGGGGGTCATGTGATACAGCAGGTAACCTACTCAGAACGATAGTACTACATGAAAAAATAACTTCTAGCACTATGCCGTCACTTGAGAGCGGTACACGTAAGTACAGGGGAAAATTGAATTTTCTGTCAAGAATGGGTCGGAAAAGTTTAAATAATTTTTTACGGCTTTCTTTAGTATCACAGATGTCAACAAAATAATCACGATTCACTTAGTGCCGTACGGAAGTAATCGTGCCGGAAGCCATAAAAAATTTTTAATTTTCAGGTAATTTTCCATGCGGAAAAATTAATTAACTAACGTACGGCATTGTTACAGTTAAATTTCTGTAATTTTTTACATTTAAAATTTTGTTGGCATCTGTGATACTAAAGAAAGCCGTAAACAATCATTTAAACTTTTCCGACCCCTTCAATTTTCCTCTGAACTTACATGTACCGCTCTCAAGTGACGGCATAGTGCTAGAAGTTATTTTTTCATGCAGTACTATCGTTCTGAGTAGGTTTCCTGCTGTATCACATGACCCCCCCATTTTTGCCCACAGCTCGCGGTCTAAATGTGCGTTTTTTCTTGGGAAGTTATGCTCAGCCTTTGATATAGTTGCTCAACCCGTTTACATATTTAGGATGAAATTGTGACGTAACCGCCCAAAAACCATGAAAAGAACTATATGTGTGCTTTCACTGGTACTCCTGGGAACCATTTCTGCGGGGCGCTCATGGTAAATGGTGGAGCGGTCGTCAAATAGCTGGTGACACCAAGACCTAAGCGTTACTTTCGCGTCTGTATGTATCATATCTGATTTCAGTTTATACAGCCGATTATAAAATATCTTGCTTATATTATTTCCACTATCTTAGGTTGGGTCATGTGCCCGTACATACCCATACTTACTAAACGCGGAATACGAGAACTCATCTTTGGTCTGTCCTGTGATAAAAGGTATATGCTGCAAATGGCCATTCATAATTAGTCGAATAGGATTGTCGGTAATAAATCTTTCTTGACCTACTTCAGGTTCTATCACCGGAGACCAAATTAAAATAGGGTCGTATCCGAATTCCTAAAAATATTCATCAACCTGTACTGTTGCGGATATACGGTTTACATAAATATACTTATAGATACTGATATAACACATACTAGGTGATTTAAAAAGTTTCTGGGCATAGAAAGACATTAGTGGGTAACGGAAAACATGTCGCTTTGCTTTTACACGAGTTTTCTGAAGCAGTTTTGCACGGAGGCGAAATGCGGTAAATGTATTAGGAATTTAAACCTATGCGTACAGACGTCCATGACGAGGCAGTGGACTCCCAAACAATGATTTGTTAATTCTATACACTATATAGTTTTAAATAATAAACGAATGACTTAGTATGAAATTGATGAATCAATGAAAATTTTAAATGAACTTTTGTTTCATATTTTGAAAATGAGAAAGGGTCCAGGAAACTGATCGTAAGGAGGGTGCTGCATTCATTAACCCTAGATCAAACAGGGACTCGAGTAAGGCTTGTTCTACAACATAAGGCTAAAACAGACACATAGGTTTGCACTATGTCCCAGATTGCGGCATCACACCGCAGAGTGGTCTGAACCCGGTTGTTCTGTTCCGGGGCAAGCAAATCGAAATCACCTGAAAAGATCATAGCATCTATCTTTGGGATGCAACAGAGATATTGTCCGAGAGTTATCCGCACTCTATTAAAACTGCGAAAGCAGAGTATTCCTGTAACATTGTAACCCCACTGATAAGCTAGATGTAGGAATTCGGGGAAAAAGATCAGGTTTGCAGAAGGCAATACATCTCTATATAGAGAACAATAGCAAAATTGAATTACGCTTCAAATTGCTTGAAAGCCAAATCTATCGAAAACATTTATCACGTTGTAATTTTCATTCATTTTTATACTTCAAGTCCAAGTGAAGAAGTTTTACAGCCCTAGATATGTATTTTGAAATACTTATAGTTAATCACTTCAGGGAAGGTATAAGTGCAATAGAAAATTGCTGGCAAAATGTTCTAATACTAGTAATATTTCTTGCAGAGTCCAGAAACTTTTCCAAATCACCTAGCTTTATCGGGGACCTTAACAGGAGAGGCTAAAGATCATCACTTTCGCAAGATATTTCCTTTTTCAGGACGATTGTTGCTTTTTCAGTCAGACTTTACACATACCCTAAATCCAAAAAAAGAGTCTCCTAGCTCCTTTGCCGATTTTGTCTTCAAGCAGTTCACGATGTTCTTAGAGGTATCATCTGGACATCCTACAAGCCTAGCTTGTTTCTTAGCTATATCGAGCTGCCCAGTTGGGATGGGCCAACCTCCGACAGGAGAACCACTCATTGCAATCCCCTTATGGAATAAACCTAAAAAAACAAGAATGTTGACGATATCATTGTCTACGGAGGATAATTTAACACACCGACTAATGCAGTTTACGTTATTCTTAACCCCCATCGGAAAACGGAGAGGTGTTATAAGTTTAACATGTATTGTGTATACGTTTCTGTGGCGTCGCAGTTCCTCGATGGTAATAACCAAGTTTGAGTGCGGTTTTTTGTTGAAGGTCGATATGGGTCTTCCACAACTAAGTTGCAATTTTTCAGGTGATAATTAAGCCTGGCACAAGAATCGCCGGGTGCTTACATGCTTACTTTTTCTCATCAAAACTGTTTAGTCCCAACGATTCTATGATAGCAATTTAAATGTTAATACAATGTACCTTTAGACATGGGGGATACCATGTGAAATATAATACTCCAGCTTCCAGCACTATAGCCCAACAACGTCACCGAATCAGGATCTCCACCGAAAGAAGCAATATTCTTCTGAACCCACTTCAATACTACAACTTGGTCCTTCATTCCATAGTTTCCAGGGGATTCTTTATCGCCTGTTGCGAGGAATCCTTGAACATGAAAGTGAAAGGATATGCTTAAGCTGAAAGTACAATTTCTGACAGATTCAGGCAAAGTTGGGATGTTTGTTTTGGATTTATAGTCTATAACATACCCAGTGATCCCAGTCGGTAGTTGAAGGTTACGAAAACAATATCTTGGTCCATAAAATATTGTGGCCCAGCCCAATAACTAACACTTGTAGTGCTGTAAAATGCACCAGGAAGTATATAAACTATCACTGGACGTTTGGGATTATCTTTTCCTTTTGGGAGCTAAAAGAGCAAAATATTAATGATTATTCCTACTATGTTGGCACTATTTTCAACCTGACATCATTTACAAAAGTAAAAAGCACAAAAGCAGCTAACCTTTGAGAGGAAAAATAGTGCTAAGAGAGCTGCCTTAGACGTTCCTGGAAGCTAGTTAGAAAAACACGTACCAAGTACAGAAACAGTATTCATAGTTTTTGTCACTTTTATAAATTAATTGCATAACTGATGATTGGAAATGTGGGAAAATGGGTGTAGTTATAAATTATTCTGTCTACTCGAGAGCATTTTAAGTGTGCAACGATCAACCTAACATGAAAATCTCACAAGGACAAATGTCAGCAATGGCAGATATTATATGGACAAATCATGTCTTCTATCTCTTTGTCGATGTTTATGCGGTATTATTAGAAAAGCACTAACTGAGTATCAAATACGCCCATTTATCAGCATTTTTTTTTGCTATACATTACAGGAGTTACCATAGAAAGACTGGTAGTCTTGCGAAAACATAGATGAATAACAGGCCAATCGTGGGATCGTCCGCAATAAAGGAACAAGAGGCCCTTATGAAACCAATAAGCAAAAACGTACGTCGCTCGGGTTACCAGTCCGTTTATTTCTGCTCCCGCTCCTTTATTGCGGGCATGCCCACGATTGTCCTAAGTGCTTATTATGTCTGTATCTAGATAGAAAAGTACCTTTGTGGAGTAAACATTAAGCATCAAGCAATCCTCTGATACAGGATCACCTGCCGTTGGCTGTGGACAGATAGAACCATCTTTCGTAGCGTCGTAGGTACCATTCCATGTTTCTACAGCAACAGGTGGCTAAAAATGAATTAACGTATAGTAAAACAATTTAGGGTAAAATAACAATTTCCCAGCGACCTTCATTGGCATGCAAGTACAAAAAAAGGGTTTTCCTAATAAACCGTGAAATGTTGGAATCAGGTCAATTAATCATTAAGGCTGTTACCATTAAATGTGCCGAAGAGTTGGATCAAATTTGGTTTTTATCCATATCTCTGCATAACCAGAAATAGAGGATCGTCATTTTGAGGAGCAGGTACTTACTTTGAACCTTAATTCGCCGACCGGAGGCTCGGCGTACCTTATGCCTCTGAAGGCGTAGATAGTTTTGCCTAGCCTTGAGGTCAATAATGATCCTTTGATGCTCCCAGATGGTGTAGTTAGCTGTGGGTGCTCTGCATATACCCAGTCATACTGAAGAAGCAAGAGAATAACGGGCAGTACGAACATCTTAAAATGAAAAAAAATGGAGGACAAACATTTAAAGGTTTTTGTTATTAGTATGTTGTATTTTATGTAATTAATGGACAGCTAAAGGCTGCTTAAATACCAAAGTTCGCTCAAAAAGTCTTCGACCAGAATACTATTTTACTGAAAATTATAAAACTACTTTACTTAAGTCTTATCATCATCAAAAAAAGTGTTTCTGAAATACCTATAGGGTGCATGGAAAAAAATAATAAGGAAGTCGGTGTATCTATTTAAGTCATCATTTATATTTCAAGTATCTTTCCAGTCACAATTCCTCCTTTCGAAAATGAGATATTATGTTTTTTTTTGATGTTATACGACATGAACATCACGAAAAACCATGTCACTCATTTCCGTCGGTATGAGTCTGTCGGTCAACTAATCCTTGGGCTGCCTATAACTTGGGAATGAAACAATGTTACTACTACGCCAAGAACAAAAAGGTTTTGTGGTTTTTGAATTTTGAATATCGGTCCAGTGGCGGCGGATAAAAATGCCAAAAATGGGAAAAAAATCATTCAGCTTCGTTTTTTGATGTAATAGAGTTTCCGGATCATTTTTGAAAAATATCAGGGATACACAATTTTGGGGATTGGGGGTTGTAGAATGGTGGCGTTGGATGTCTCGCAAGTTCACCTATTAGACATATTTCACAAATCATAGATTTTTCCCTCTCCATCGTTTCCTCAGGTTGCACCCGTAGCCGGATGTATGGGCATGTGTATCTACTTTTGTAGTTGCATATATGCATTCATTTCGGGCCTGATGAAGCCAACCAGCAGAAATACATATCGTTCGGGTTACCTATCCTATTTTCTGCTCGAATCCACTTTCCTCCTTTTTGCGGATTTTGCCCATTATTTTACTACTTTTTGTTATATACCTTTCTCCGCATGATCATTTTCTCTCTCCCTCTCTCTCTCTATATATATATATTGGTATATATATATATACCCATAAATATATATATAAAAACTTCCCCCAGAAACTTAGAAAAGCAGAAGCATCGCGTACCTATTGGTCGCGCTTACCGTGCGCACTGAGGTTGTAAATGTCTTTGGTAGAGGGCACAAGGGACAAAAGCAGGTAGAAGAATAACGGCGCGGCGCGGTGACACCTTATACAAATATGTGCATCGTGGGCGCGATATTATCTACCCATACGAGGATTATCCATGGAAAGTAATTCAATGAGGTAACTTCATTTTGTAAGATAATATTATATTGTATAGGCTACCCTGTACGGCCATGCCCATTGCTCCTGTCTGAGGAAATGTTCCTCGATGAAAACCCCCAATTATGCACTACCGGTTCTGGCAAAAAAACCTATGTCTTCGTTATGTCATTGCACTGTATCACTACATGGAAAAGTTGCTTCGGAGGTTTAGGAAACATTGAGCCAGTCTTCGTAACGCCACTTTTATATATGGAGGGGGGGGGGGGGGGGGTTGGGATATTAAATACACTCAAACTGTCAGAGGTTAACATTCCAAGAAAACAATATTCAGGATTCAAAAGGGCTCCGTTATTATTTTAGCTTTGTTGAGTCACACATAGCAAAGTTAATCATTATTTAAAGCGGAATAGTTGTTGTATCAACCGAAAGTATGAATTTTGAGTACTTACCTAAAGATCAATTTCTTTGCCAGAAGAATTAACAGGTGCAAAGTAAATATATGAATGATGGTGATTTTGTAAGATAATGATGATATAGACACAGACTGATAATAAAAAATGTCGAAATGTAGTGTCAGCCACCGAATTGCATACTGCAAGGCATCGATACTGGATGTGTATTGTATCCTACTTACTTCTGGTGCTTGAAAGCAATTCGAGAAAAATCTGCATCTTAGCAATTTGTGTTTAGTCTCGAAATCGAAAAAAGTATGTTTAATTTCTTTGGGTACTATTTGTAAAACAATTATCAAATATCCATAACAAATGTCTCCTAATAATAGACTAGATAACCAATACACGTACCTTTTGGCACCCAGGAGCCTTGTACGTATATAACAGATAAACATTAACTGAACTGACTAACAACACACGATAAAATATATACTCTACGGAAATGTAGATAATTTTTTTCTTTGGAAGTGGGTATTTCCAACAGCCGTATCAGGCTTTTCTCGGGCCTAGCTTCTAGCATAACTTCGTCGCATCTTTGGTTATTGGTTCAGTCTTGGATATCAATGAGATGGGTTTTGCCATTAACCATTAAGATTATCTGCATATATCTTTAACCATAGGTATTACACGATTTGCAGTACAGATATCGTTCGATTGAGATAGTCATTCTGATGCCTATATTTGTACTAAACTACAAGAACGTATTTTCCAGGAAAGTCGACATGGTAGTATTTATAGAAAATAGAGCTTCGAGGTTAATAAGCTAATGCTATCGGGTCATAACATATTCAAATGGTACTTTTATGTGTTTATTGTTTACACCTCTCAGTATGAGTAACGTGTTGTTATTACTATATCAGTCCGATACAGGTCAATAGTGGATTTTCCAAGTGTATCAGCTTTCGTGTTTTTGATATTAATGCAGGTTATCCAATAAAAAAAAAATAGATTACTGATGGACGGAGGCACGTAATGGACTTAAGGTTACTTTGTTTTTGAATAGTGGTGGGAAATTTCCGTAATTTTGATACCTACCTTAGTTAATAAGAGGCAGCCAAGTGTACATTCGATTGTAGCCGCCATTCGTTCTGGATTGTCGGGGTTCAAAAAGCTAGGGAAATGATTTCGCCCAAACATGATTCAGCAGTTGCTACTAAGATATCTACTTAGAGCTAGAAAGAGTTTTCCTCCATCTATTCTCCTCACCATGTACCAAATACGAGTACTGAGTAGACTGTTTATACCTGGTGCGATTCAGGGAAGGGATTTTGGATTTATATGTGACATCTTCCCAATAGATGGACTTTTGAGACTTCTACAGCGATGGTTGATCGATGGTCTGAATTCATTCGTTATACGAGGCACTTTGCTCCTGTGGACACCCATAATGTTGCCGACCACTTATTATGTGAATCAGAGCTTAAACAAATAGCCGAAGACTCTATACTCGCATGAACAAACGAACTAACCTGTAGGTGATGTTCGATCCTAAGTATGTGTAGGTCTTATCGAAGAAAATACTACTTCTAGTACCCTCGTAGCTCACCAGACCCACGAGTTCAAAGCCCGCACGCAGCGAAGGAAAGCGGTACCGCTCCCCCTATCTTCCCCTTCATGGCCGCCTCTAAGCACTCTTTTTCTTTTACATTTTACAGGGCAAGAAATTTCACTCATTAGTGTATAGTCGGCTGTAACAAAATGAAAGAAAAGCTGACACCAAGGTCCCGATGCTTACCGCAAAGCTCCAGACTCTGTCTTGGATACTTTCCATTATTGCTTTAGGTTTAGTAATGTCTGCCTCGTCCGCTCAAGTAAAGATACTTTCTTTCTGTCACAATTTAATACTGGACCTAAAAGTGCCCAATTTTGACGGGAGGTCAAGCAGCTTTTTGTACATGTATATCAATTTTAGTTTAGTTTAAGATTCGCAAGCGGCATTTGTCTACTCCGTAGACACATTAGGTGAACCTATATATGAACATATAGTTCATCCGGACCAACGCGAAGGATCAGTCAAATCGCTCATTAGTCTGAAACTACGCTAATTTCTATCTTATTGGACATATAAAGCTGTCGGCTATTCGTGGTATACAACTACCAATTCACTGAAAGCACTTGTACAAAGCAATACGATCAGAAGGGGCAAAATTTATTCTAAATGCCATAGGCTTGAGAACCGACATTGCCGGACAGGTCTGGAAATTTCCCCAATTGGACGTGTGCAATTTGCCAAATTGATAAATTGGAGTCTATGTAAATACGTGCAGCAATTTAAAATGATTTATACCAGCATTGTCCCCCTGGTAACTCTTAAAATCTCGTACGGTGCTTTCCTCAATATATCAAATCGCTGAATCACCTATTTGCCATGTCGGAGTTTGACACCTGACGCTCCTCACTTACAGCCAGATTGATTGAAATAAAAACAATGAAGGTAACTGGCATCTCACTCCTCGCTTCACGATATAGTCTAAGGCCCGTATCGTCAGTCGTTCCTACAATTGTAGGGCGCGTTTATGGCCTCCTTGATTGTCATACCCTTTTCTCTCCTTCAAAAATTTCTAGATTACACTTGTCTCGTGTCAGCGTCAGCGCTCTACTATTGTGAAGATGTGTTTTCTTTTTAAATTGTAGGAAATTTGAAGCTGATAAATCATGATATAACTCAAAAGCAAGCACAATTTGATGCAAATAGATGTTTGTGAAATAACCTCAAAATAGAGCGCTGACACGGAGAAGTAGAAAACTATGACAATCAAGGAGGCCATAAAGGCGCCCTACAATTGTAGGGACGACTAACGATACGGGCCTAAGACCCGAATTAGATTAGGTGTCTATGATCGTTGTAATAAAAGATGGTCATAACCTATATAAAATGTACTGCAGGACTTTGCAAGCAATTTGCAACGCTCTATGGGACGTCTAAGGTGAGTCACACTACGCACTGTGCTTGAGTTGCCGCTCTTGAAGGATTATGTCAAGCTTCAGGCGCAGCGACGTTACTGACAAGTTGAATTGCACAGTAACCCCCTGTTGTGTACACAGGGTAGCAAATCCGTAAACCTTCCAGGCCACGGTTCGCAATGTGATCAAACATTTTTAGTAAACAAAAAATTACACTCTATCAACACCTAAATAAAAACTTGCTTTTAGTTCATTTCAAAATTAATCCGTGTTACCAAGTCAAAAAGCCTTGGTGTTTCCTCTTACAATGATACACTATTGGTTTATTTGCTCTTCTTCCTTTTTCCTCTCTTTCCCGCCCTCTTTCACCTTGCCATGATCTGCTTTCTGGGCAGCCAGTACTGACAGATTCGACTAACGTTCATTAAACAGTAACTAATGGACAAAGATCCTACGGACCGTGTACACAAATGACGAATAGTGAAATGGTCATAAGGTGTCTTTGTGTAACTTGGACGATTTCTTAGTTGACTTTGATGATGGAACAATAAAAATGTTTTATTGAAGTTAGCTTTTAGTAAATAAAAGAACTTTAAGTTCAGTGAGGTTGAGCTAACTGACCCATCACACGATTTTGTTGGTTACTACACGATGTGTTGTAGAAGAGTGACTGCTTTGGGAAATAGATACGATGAAGAATTCAGATTTTATGTACTGAGAATACAGCAAGTACACAATATACTGTATATATAAAATGATACTTGGGAAGTTTCCCAATTCCCAGTATTTCCCGATTCCAAATTCGTTTTAATTTTATTTAGTCAATCACACAACGGAACAGACAAAGGGTGGAGGCGGCAGAAGTGGATTTCTTCCGAAGAAGCTATGGAGCTTAGAAGCTACAGAAGATCAGAAATGATAAATAAGGCAAATGATGAACGTTCAAATATCGGTGACAGAAGAAATTGAAAGACGCAGAATAGAGTGGTACGGTCATGTTAACAATAAGGGAAAGAGGTAGACCTCCAGAGGAATAAGAAAAGCAAGCTAGAGGAGATATACAGATCTCGCCGATATGTATATTTAGATAATAATTCTCTTGACAGGAATTTATTAGCCAACCCACTCGCGATATTTTTTTAACATACCAAATTTGGTACAAAATACTTCTTATCCAATAAACAGATGGGTGATTGTTGTTTCTAATTCAGATCTATTAACGGTTTGAAGTCAAGAATACAAAAATGAAACACTTTTGAATATTCGTAAGGGATACAATACTAAAAGCTCCATTGCTTACAAGGAAATTTGAAGATAGTACGAATGTGTACTGATATTTTCGATTGTGGTCAAGCAACAGCAGACGCGAAAATGTAGCCCAAACCAATATAAGGAAACGCCACTTGTCTTTTAGTCCGGTTTGTGTGATTCTTAGACGGATGTCTCATGATAATTATTTTCTGTGGTTCGTACGATCAACATTTAGTGATGATTCCATCAGTGTCAGTTGATTTCTTTATTACGGTATACATCAATAATTTTTTTATCAATAAGCATCGCACTTCATGGTAATCACTGACGGTCCATCACAGTAAGTACTTGTCGTGTATCATTCGTCATTTCTATCCATTTGCAGAATCATTGGACTTCGTGGATTTAGGTTACCAGATAGAATTCATAAATACACGTATCTACATATTCCGCAAAAATAGCCACATTACCGTTTACAAAATTTATATTTAACACTGCATATTTAGATGCCATTGTGGCTTACATGCTCTTCATTTGTTCCACATACCAAACTACGGTCATGATCGCGAACATTTAAAAAATGCTTATAGCATAGGTGTAACAAGAGATATGCTTGATATGCTGGGACTTCGAAAACAAACGACACTGGGTAAAATCTCAAATAGTAGTAACTGCAAGTGTGATGATTAGAAGGATAAAATTAGTAAGTGCCTATATTCACAGAATAATTCAGACTGCTGCAGCCTACCCATGTTGAATTTTCCTCCTCCACCATCAATAGGATGTATGATCTTTCTCAAGGTGAAGCGATACATTTGTGGCTACCACTTAGGCTTAGCGTACACCCGAGAATGGTGAGACAGCATCAAGGAAAACTTTCCCTTGGATAGTGCACACTGTAAGAAAAATCATCTGCGATATCACGAGCTTTCGTCGGCGTACCTCCATCTTATCCTAGCATCTTTAATCCGCCAAATTTCGGCGCATAGCTACGTCGGTATCGCCGACGTCTCTCACCACGGTATCTCACAGTAATTTAATACCGAGAGATTAAATGTATTTATCCATCCTTCAGGATCAATGTCTTCGAAAATAAGCTTCAGGGGTGGCTACTCAATGCACCCAGATCAAAAACAGGTCAAAAAATGTTTATAATAATTGTGAATAGCATATACTTAAATGAACATTATGAACATATATTTGCTAATAAGTTTGAAAAATACACATTTACTAAATACCTATACTTATTTAATTGTTAGCCAACGAACAAGGTTTCAGCTTTGTGGGTTCTACCGTTTATTTGCTACTTATTTTATTGCTACTTTAGGCAAATAAACATTATTATTATCTGTCAAGATGTAGATGTCATAAAATGACAAGATGCTAGTTGATAATCGCGATATCCCAACCGATTTCTTTCAACAGTCTGTGTTGCCAAGCGAAAAATCTATCTCGATGCTTTTCCCCACCGAGCAATATCCCTCTGTGCGGCAGGCCTAAGACGTCACTACAGTAACACTCTTTCAAAATATAGCACAATCACGACATAACAGGGGTTACGATAAATTGCCAGTGTAATCGCAATATTCAAAAGACGCCAATGTACAGTGCTTTTCAAAAAGGTCCTCCTACTTATTTTTCAAACGTGTTGAGTTAGAGAATTTTCTGCTATTGAAGTTGATGCATAAGTACTATATTTAAGCGTAAAAGTGAAAATTGCGATTGTGCGCCATCTTGAAAAATTTCGGAGCTCCTTTAGCGCTTTACAATGCCAGAGAATCTTTAATAGCGGTAGTCTGACAGGCTGTCGTCTTGACTCGCTTAATCAATATTTTTCTCTTGTACGGATCCACCAGAATATTTTTTAACAAGTTTGAAAGGATCTGTAATTTCGTTAAGCAGGTTTCCCATATTTTATTGTATACGTACATTCAGATAAATCCTTCCAAAATAATCTCGCCAATCTGCGGAGAATGATATAAAAAAAAACCGTGAGGGCTCCCAGTCGTCATTATGGAATTTCCATCCTTCATTTTTACGTTAAGGTATAGCATTCATGCGGCTTGCTAGGTTGACCTGCTCAAGAAATAATGATGAGAGGCCTTTTGGAAAGATCTATACACATTATGTATTATTGGTTGTAGTCATCAAGGAAATAAAGCGGCCAAGAAAAAGCTTCCAGATGAATATCTTTACAATACTTCTTATTGGCACAACAAAGACCTGATTCTAATTCATATAGAGCATTAGATTTAAGCAAAGGACGATATTTCATATAGATGTAACAAGGGTACACTTATGTGGATTTAAATTATTCACGACGCATATCCATATAGTTCTAACGTGGGCTCGTTCTATAACATTGTTCTTACATTTTGTTGCAGATTTGGGCCCTCTCAAACAAAACAGTTCAATATAACATACTATAAGGTCTCATTTAAAAATTTTTGAGATATTGGACAATCTATAGAAAACAATCATCTCCTCAATTGTTACAGCTAGAATACTGATTTTTTTGGAAGAAATAAAGTATGACCCTATATTTTTCCATATCCACTTTATTTTTTATTGCACGGTGTTCAATGACTCAAAGTGAACGATTTCCGAAATTTTTAAAATGGCACACCTTGAATACTTCCGCATTATTTGATTTCCTTTTTAATAGGCTTTTTGTTAAAAGGTTCACAGAGCTTTGTACGACTGGTATTAGAGCTCTCCCAACCTTTTTGTAAGTCAATATTAAGGCACCAAGTTTCAAATAGATTGTCGAATATCTCAACCGTTATAAAATAAAACCCTGTAGTATGTAACATGCGTAATAAAGGGGTTTTTGACAGAGCCTATACTAAAAATTCACCCTGTAGATAAATGTGAATAAATTATTATTATATGCTCGATGGTATATCTCTACAGGACATTGAAAAATGCAAAATGTGCTTTTTTGAAATGTTGTAATAGGAAACTCTATAATAAATTGGAGATTTAACTTTGTCTTTTTAGCCGACTGTCTCAGGAGGGTTGTACCACAGCTTCAACGGCTTGATGGAGTTTGATTAGTAAGATTTCTGTAGATTTGATTTGATAGTGTCAATGGCACTACACTTTGGCAAAGCACAATGTTAGATTTTAAATGGAAACTTCAGCCTTGAAGTTTTTATTTCACAGGCTACGTGTTGAGCAGCTTCATATTTGAGGTGTCCTTAGATTCGACTTGATTTAAACTTCTTTGTTCCTCCTACTGAATTCAGACTTAATTTATTTTGCTAAAAAACCTGCACTTGCACCTTGCATCATAAAATGACAGATACCTCCCGTACCAAATGGAACGCCACGCATATGAACCACATCTGCAAATTTGCGGGTGTTCTGAGCAATAACTCCGACAATTTTACTTTGCATACACATGCATAGCCGACTTAATAAATATTCATTTTGTAATTCCTGCCGTAGTTAGCCACATATATGAATACGCAATAATCACCAATTTGTCTGCATTAGTTTCTGCACATATACTGTCCTTGCAACTGCAGGCATCCGAATTTCCGGTAATATGCTGAAATCACGCTACTTATGCCTTTCAACCTCATGGGTTTCAAAAGGTTGATGTATTGGGGGAAGCTGGAGAACCCGGCTTTGGTTTTCAGTTTCTGTAACCTTCGACAGAGTTTTAGTATAGGATCTTTGTAACATACCCACACCTATACGTGGGCAATGTTAAGGCTCTGCACTATCATTAAGAGTATAATATCCCTATTTATTCCTATGTAAACATGCATCGGTGGTTGCGACGTAACTTCGTTTTTTAGTTAAGTAAGATTCAAAACAATATCCTGATATAGTCGAATGTTTCAATATTTAAAAAAGCTTTTATTGTTAAAAATATAAGGTTTTATAGAGAGAATATCACAGCTTCGTTAAAACATTCTTCATGTATTGAGAAAAAAAAACAAGAAATTTGAAAATATTGTAGGAAACGAGCTTATACAGAAAACTGTAGGTACTTCCAATTTTTCAAAATAAATCCAAGAATCCTCTCCTTTTCAAAATCATATTTCCAAACCCTTTGCCTATGTGTATCTCAAACCAAAGAAGTTACCATAGAATTAAGAAATCCTTTTTATAGCATAAGCTTGACTCCACTGAGATGACACGGCACGTTGAGTTATAAAACACTGCGTGCCGCTGCCTTTATAAATTGATATTAGCTGCAAATAAACTAAAGGCTAAGCTTGATTTTTTGAATACCAGGCATAGCCAAAGGGGCAGCTTGTTATTTCAGTGTCTGAAAAAAAGTATTTTCGGTTTTCTCACTGATGCCTAAAAATGGGTCTTAGTGCCATTTCCATAAAAGGCTTTATGAGGCGTTCAGTAGTATACACTACTTAATCATGTTGTTGATGTTTTCCGTGATTTCATCTGATGATTGTAACTATGCTAATAGGTATAACTGTACGGCTCTTGATTAGCTTATTTAACATATCGCTTCCTGCATGTATCACTTAATTTCTCCTCCCTTCTATACGTGTGTACAAAATTCATAAAGCAATTATTTAAGACATTTCTATCACCGTCTCACGCATCTTAAGGTCATTTCTTTTGAAAGAAACATCAGATTAACTAATTCAAGCAAATAAGTCCCATCATTCAGTAATTTGCAACGCAGCGTCTATATAAGGACCCCAGTAATTGGCCCAGGTCCAGTTTTGTTAGTTTCTTGCGCGCGTGTGACTGTGTGATGGTACAGTGATACTATATTAATAAGGTGAGTCTATGATCAACTATTTTACTTACCTACTAGCTTGGTTAAGTTAGATCTTCATAAAACGTGTTCATTGATCCTGTACATTCAAGTTTGCTAATTCTTTAGTCCTCTTGAAGAGATTATTTGCTGTTAATATATGTTTTATATTTTAACACAAAATTTACTTTCTGACCAGCATCTAGCCCTTATGGAAAACTTCTGAATTACTACTGTCACCGCTCTCTGTTAGCACTTTCCTTCTGCTTTCATCTTAGCTTGCCATTTTATTGTTTTCGAGGATCTACAAAAGACCGAAATCAGTTTACAAAACAAAATGTGACTTTTCCCTGCATACAAAATTAAAAAACTCCTTGTTACACGATCTAACTGAATCATTATGTAACACAAAAAATGAGCTAAAGAAAAAACGTTAAAATTACTGAGCTTTCTCTACTTTATTGTGAGTTATCTGGGAATAAACCGAAAAATAGATGAACAACAAACTTGCCACGCCTTTTTTTATAAATAAGAGGAAATGGTGGGGTGATTCCTCTTTCCTTGTTTTAAATTAATTAATGGATTAATGCTATACTATAAATGAAATCTAAGGATCAGTCAAAGCAAAGCAGCTGTCAAGTGACGTGCAAATTTAGGCCCTAGCTCAATAAAGCGGAGAGTAGGGGGGGCATCAAGAGCGTCAGTGACTCAAGACAGATTAAGCCACAAATCCTCGAGTTTTTAGTCGGAACTTGTTTTGCTTGACCACCACACAAAGAAAAGACTCTAACAGTAATGATGAAACCTAATTCGTTGTATACAGAGAGCCAAAAAAAACAAGATATCTAAAAACGAATCACAATATATTGCCAAAACAAGCAGCACATATTCTCCACCACTGGAATATAAGTTACAACAAAAGATGTTATTAAAAACTACCTTAGAATGAAATTAATAGACTGTAATAACTAACCCTGCATAACGTTTACCATGGTACACGTACGAAGGCTTTACAAATATAGGTCTTACATATATTTCAACGCCTAAACCTAAACTTATCTGGACAATGGTCTTATCTTGATAATGGTCTTCTTCCAGTTACAGTTCTAGGTACAGCTGAAATGTCCACAACTTAAAAACGCTCAGGTCAAAAATCAGTGGCCAGTAGTGAGCAGTGACGTAAGGTACGTCACAAGGTAGGGTCTGCTTGCCTCGTTCTCAAAATTTATGGTTAAAAAACCCTAGGGAGAGGAAAAGACTGTTTAAAAATCTACTCTCTACTCTATGTCTGAGACAGAACTACACATTTAAAAGACTCAAAACTTGAAGAAAAATCCATGTACATTCTCTTTTACAAGAAAACTACTTTTCTTTCTGCAAGTGCAAGAAAAGATAAAAATTTACCAAAGTGATATACTCTCAGAAAGTTATCCCTTGTTCTAAAATAAGTTATGGCAGCTCAAAGTCCAAAATCATGATTAATGTAATGTAATAAAGCCAAAACACAGTGACATGTAGGCACCAGCCTATATTTGAATACGTAAAATGCAAACAAAATCAAGAATACTCTAAGAATTTCAGTCAGCAACAATCAATATATCAATATATATAAAATACCCAATTAAAATTATATGTTGCCTGTTCATCAGGGTTTTTATAAAAGGGAAGAGATGGTTTCCAACAAAATCGGCTGCGAAACAGCTACAAGGCAGCTACAAAACAAAGCTGGAGGAGTGTGAGTGGTGGATCTCCACAATGGCTTTCCACTAAAAGGAATCAGATATTCAACAAACTTCTTCAGGACAAGCATTAAAGGACGTAGTCCGATGGTATACAAAAAAAGCTTGCCGCTGGAGGTTAAAATCCCATTACAAAATGGACGGATAGTACCCTAACCAACACAACTAAACGTAAGGTACAAAATAAAAGGGTACTACTTCATAAACTGGTGCTTGGGGCGTTAATATACCAAAATCTTGAGGTTAACGAAAAAACGCCCGCACACAACCAAAATCACAGCGGAAAAGCAAAAGTAAAATGGCGCTGGACGCGTCGGTACGCAATTAAAAGAAGGTGTCTTGATAGTAAATCACATTTCAAAAGAAGATAACTTGATAGTAAATCAAATTTTAACGGAAGGTATCTTGATAGTAAATCACATATCAAAGAGGGGGTAACTTGTTAGTAAATCAAATTTTAACAGAAGGTATCTTGATGGGAAAGTAAACATTAAAAGAATGTTAAATGAATGGCCTTGAAGAAGCTTATCTTGATAGAACAAAATATCCCTATACTGCTATACGTATAAACGTGTAACCATCATAAGATGGCGCGCTGGTTGCCGATGGGCAGATTGTAGAGAAGAAACAAATCTGTCTACGAGGTACCAACAATATTTATGAGGAAACTTCTCAGATAGTAGAAATATTTCAATACAACACTGAGTCGCTGAGAATGACAGATATAATACGTGAGAAATTCTGCAATCAATAAACTATGAAACTACTATTAATGAAGAGAAATTCAAATTACTCATAAGTGGTCAAAAGATTAAAAAAAAAGTTTACGTGATTTTATCCTTTCCAATATTTTTATTGTTTCTAAAACTATGGAAGTTTGATGAAGACGAAGTTTGAGACTATTCTTTACTCAATCTTTTTTTTGGTTTACGCTCATAACTCCGTCGCCATTGCAGCATTATTAAGATATGTGCCATTGCCTGCCACAATACCAACTGGTCGACAAACAAAGAGGAAGTCTAGGGATTTTTTTATAGACACTGTAGACGTTATGAAGCATCATAATTACGTATATATTACCTGAACTTCCAAAATTTTCGTAGAATACTTTCATCTTTGCCCTATCCATTGTTGTGCCTGCATTGCAGAGCATTTTCAATGCCTCCCAGCCCCCCGAAGGTCGCAAACGTACTAAACATAAGAGATGAATAATATTATACACAAACAATTCGCGCAAGCAGACGCTCCATGCCGTGCTCCTCATCACATGTTTTCGATGAAACAATTTATTATCTTTAAATGAAATAGCGTAATAAATTTGTTTTCAGAATGCTCAAACACGTAGCCCTAGCCTTACTTTTAAGTTACACAGTAGCTTTCCCAGATGGAGGCAACAACGTAAAGACCACCGAGCCCATCGTTACGACGTCGGGTGGCCAAATCAAAGGATCCGTCTTGAAATCTAGGCTAGGAAAACCTATTTATTCTTTTAGAGGTATAAGATATGCTAAGGCTCCAGTCAATGAATTAAGATTTAAGGTGAGTCTGCCATCAAGTACTCTTTCATTCCGTAATAATAATTTTAATGCCCCTTAACTCCTGTTCTCTCAACCATTATTACGGTTAACTCCTAGCATACTCCTTACTTGAGCTAGCTCACAATGTAATCTGCATCTCTCTTGCTTTCGGTATTGATCCGCATCTATCCTTATGTCGTGTTCACTGTTGTCATCTTTGCGTACCTACTTGTACTATTTCAGCTTTACTTACCATTTCTTACACATCCTCAGTATGCTTGTTTGTTGTGGACTGTTTTTCGACTGATATGAAAAAGCTTTCATAAGCCCTTCCGATAGTGATATGTGCTTTTGTTAAAATTTTTACGTATTATAGCCACCAGTTCCCATTGAAAAGTGGGAAGGGGTATATGATGCCATAAAAGATGGACCACTATGTCCGCAAGCTACAACTGATCCCGTATCTGAAGACTGCCTACTCTTGAATGTCTACAGTACCAAGGTAATTATCGCTAATAAACCAATTCAAACCCACACTAAAATAAATATCTCAATAATGAAAACGAAATATATTCAAAATAAGCGTAATTCCACAATTACTATAGATCATATAGCTGAATAGCGTAGCTTCCAAATAACCAGGTGAGAAAATGAGTTCCAAGTTACGCTCCGGTTAGTTGAAATCATCGCAAGAGATGCGCATGGTACACAATTATGATATTAATGAAACGTTTGATGGCATACAATTTAAACTATAAGCTGTTGAAAAAGTATGTGTCGGTTAAATTAGTATTAAGACCGCGTAATGGTTGCGAACCATTTTTCAGCTGCCAGAAGGAGCTGACAAGCCCAAACGTCCAGTCATTGTATTCATCCACGGTGGAGCTTTCTACAGCTTGGGAGCAGCAAGCTACTGGTATGGACCGCAGTACGTGATGGACCAAGAAGTTGTTTTGGTCACATTCAACTACCGATTGGGAGCTCTAGGTGTGTATACCAGAAGTTGTCATATCAGAACCTGTGAATACAGAGTCGACGTCAAGCCGGAAACGGGGGATAGGCCAAGTCATAATAGCTAATTATCAGAAAAATATAAAAAAATAAGTTATGTACTTTTTAAATTAGAAGAATCCAAAAAATCTACACCGTGTGATGATCTTTTAGTTCCCGTTACTAAAATTTTCAATTTTTTGCGGAGCGTCGGACAGTGTCATTCTACATAGTAATAGCAAGACAAATATTAACGACAACGTTATTAATTCATCATTGTGTAGTGCCACCATCAGTGGCGACGCGTGACTTTTTTTTTTATATCGAAACTGTTACCAAAAAAGTTTATTTTGCACCTCCCAGATATAAGATTTTGCTTATTTTAGGTATTTTATTTAAACTATTTTTAAATTAAGGTAAACATTCCTGGACTGAGCGTCTGGGGCACTTGGTATACCTCATCGTCTTATGCTATGACTAATCCAAGCCGTCCGAAAAAACAATCGAGGTTTCTAGATGTTCGGAAAGTTTCTGATCTTTTTTGGCAATGAATGTTAACAATTCCCTGTAATTTCCTCTATTGTCAGAGTCATCCCCTTTAAAATGAGCGGTAATTCCTGTTTTGCCAAAAAACATACGTTATCTAGAAGTGTGCTGCCTAAAAGCTTGGTTAAGATAACTTTCGATTCTTGTTTTGCCAAACTGAATTAAATTGGCTACACATGTAACGGAAAAATTTCATGTCTCCTCTTTAGAGCCCTATAACTATTTAAATCGTTGACTCCGCTGCTGGTCCACCCGTTTTTTTCTGTATAAAACAGAAGACATCGCCAACAATACAATCTATTTTTTTGCAACCGCATAACTAAGAGTTTCCATATACCAACTTAACTTAAAATATCAAACTAAGTTTTTTATCCCTTTTTAAAATTATCTAAAATAGGTGTTGGTCTTCAATTTTCAATGATCTCCTTATTTTCTTAAAAATTATACAAGGAGAATGACTTTTCAAGTAGTTGATCGATTACGCAGCGACACTCATCCATGTTTAATTGCACGCACACTACACCCAGTAACCAAAACGGCTACTAACGAGTGAGAACTGAATAACCTAATCCAAAAATGGTAACAGGCCCAGATAATAGTCGCAGCGCCCCACGCACTCGGGCGGCCGCGATCAGACACGAGCCGGTACCGGCGGTCCCCGACGGACTACAAGTGTATCCATAAACGAAAATGGTAACAACCGACAACCAAGTCGAGGCGAGTCAGCTTCATCGTGTTCGCAAAACCTAGACAGTATAGGGCGCATTATTTTCGTTGGGCTAATTTGTTATTTACTGAATTACTATTACATATCGCTGTTGGTAAACAAATAAATGAAATTATTTCACAGTACTTAGTCATAAAATATTTATTTTTATGATTTTTAACTGTTACCAATGGTAACAATGGTTACATGGACGCTTCGCCACTGGCCACCATGTTTGTGTACACCGTACAGGGATACGCCAAAATGCACCTTATTTATGGGAAATATAGATGGAATGCTAGTGCTCAAGCTAGACTTTATCTTGAGAGCTACCCAAATGCTGCTCGTCATCTGGATCATCGGCTTTTTGTGACTGTGCACCGTTTACTCTCAGAGGGGCGATTCCCCAATCAAGCACATGGTGAAGGAAGAATTTCCTTTCCTTCCTTACTATAATCAGTCGAAGAAGTCCCGAGTACTTTAGTACGTCAAATAGAACCTAGCACGGGAGTGCCCAGAAGTATAGCTCACCGACTCCTGTGAAACAACGAGCTCCACCAATACCACATACAGCGACTACAATCTCTACAACCGCGAGATTATCTTACAACGGTTGAATTTTTGTCAATGTTACAGAGACACCGGGAAGATCCGCGATTTTTAAAGAAAATTTTATGGACTGGTGAGTCGACATTTGGAAAAGGCGGTTACAATGAATCTACACAACTTACATGAGTGACATGTAGATAATCCACATTTGATGAGACAAGATAGATCACAGTATCATTTTAAAGTATACATGTGGACCAGGATTCTAAATGGACTAGTTATTGTACCCTTTCAGCTGCCAGAGCTCTTGAGTGGCAAAATTTATTTAGTCTTTTTACAAAATCATTTATTAAGTTTATCAGAAGTCGGGCCACTAAGCATTTACAGAAACTTGTGGTACCAGCAAGACGGCTGCCTGGCGCAGTATTCCCATTCAGTTCAGTTTTTCTTTACTGGAAAGTGGTGAAAGGAAAAGTTCAATTGAAGTGAATCGAAAATTTAGCTGAGCTACGGGACAGATCAACGGAAGCAGCTGAATTTCTTAAAATAGATTCAGGAATTAATAGAATATTATATGTCTTGCTGACGCTACGTGGAATAAGATCATCACGTGGTGTGGATTTTTCTTAAGGCCTATAATTTGAAAGGTACATGACTTCTATTTTTCATCTTTCTATGATAAAGTTGCAGTCACCGTTCTTGGAGGGTCAAAGTAAGACTACCCGTATCCCTTTATATATCTCAATCTCCCTCATACATACACAATCATGGAACCTACCCGTGTGTCTGAACGTTTGTTCGGTAAGCTCAAAGACATACTTTTTTTAGATGTGTGTCTCCGTCTCGAAAACCTTGTCGTTACGTATGAGTGACCTCCAATCATACTTGTCTGAGTGACAACTTTGTTGACATCGGCGTGCAATTTAAGTTGTTATGTTATCAATCTTCAATATAAAATTGTATAATGTCCGGAAATACGATCAATGGAGAAGGCCGACAGCTTGTGCTAAATTTATTAGAGTATTTCCAGGAAGAGAATGCAAACAGCGGCCCCCTTTTACCCGCTTCATGCGTACTGGAGTAGCAGATGCGCTGAAGATTAGTCTGCGCAGTGTTCAGCGAATAAAATCAGACAATAAGGTTCGCCGATACTACCACCTAAAGAAACTCACAAAATCAAAACATACAAGACCGATGATGTAAGTGATGCCGTCAAAACAGAAATTAGGAATACTTTCTACGATATAGGAAGTCAAGTTCAACATATCACGACCTCTCCGCTCAAGATCCGCACATGGTACGGAGATTCGATCTGTTTACTTATTTCATGTGGGGTAATGATGTGACCGCCAATAACGGCCACTACAACTATAACTGTTATCACTTGGGCTATCCCCCCGTTTCTGGCTTAACGTCGACTACTAGGACACCCTCCATAGAAGAAATATTACAATACAGTACTAGACATTACCACATAACAGCTACCTGAACGACATAATGTTGCCTACGCACATTTTTTTAATTCCAATCGCTATATTGTAGGTTTCCTGAGCACAGGAGACAAAGAAGCCCCTGGGAACAACGGCTTGAAAGATCAGGTGGAGGCTCTGAAATGGGTGAAGGCTAACATCGAAGCTTTTGGCGGTGATCCGACTTCAGTAACTTTGGTCGGCCAAAGCTCTGGAGCGTGGAGTGTTATTTTGCACATGGTATCCCCGATGTCCACTGGTGAGTATATAAAAGATCCTCCATATTTGCGCCATGAGTCTCGCAAACGGAAATAGGAGTACCGTAATTTCAATAAACTGTGTACTTTTCAGGACTCTTTGAGAAGGCAGTAGCCATGAGCGGCTCACCCTTAGGTCCTTGGCAAATTCCTCATAATCAGTTGGATGTAGCTAAAAAACAAGCCAAATTGGTAGGCTGTCCAGATGATACCAGCGCCAACATCGTGAAATGCCTCAAGACCAAGCCTTTCAATGAGCTAGGGCAGTCTCTACCAAAATTCAAGGTAGATATGTCACCAGGCTCGTGATTCTAAATGGATTTCGACTCTTGAAATTAATTTCGGAATCGCCTTGCCGTGATAAATATAATCAAGTATGAAAATTTTGAAACCTGTCACATTTTTATGAGGATTTAATGACTTTAGAATACATGATTATATTATAAAGCAAATCAAAATATTAGGAATTAAGACAAAAGGTATAGGTTCACCTCATGTATTTCATTATGCCGTTTTGAAAGGTTTTTTATGAGAACAAAATAATTTAATTTTAGGAATTCCTTGATGATCCAGTAATGATCTGGTCTCCGACCATTGAAATAGATCAAGGACAACCAAGGTTCTTAACAGCGCACCCTATCAATCTCATCACCAACGGACAGTTCAAGAAGGTTCCGTTCATGACTGGTCAGACCAAGGACGAGCTTGGACACAGAGCATTTGGTAAGTGTAGCAACAAATATAGTTTTCAAAGTGAAAACCTGCAACTCTCAGTAAAATTCTATATTCTTCTCCTTTTAAAAGCAGCGCTTGAGATGCACAATACTCTGTATTTTCGTGTTGCCTTTTTGCATAACGTTGTTTTTAAACTGGAAAAACATGACGTAGAATGCGCCTAAAGCAGCCTGGTTACTCATTTGATGTATTTTAAAGCTGTACATAGTTTTTATTAGTGAAAAATTGATGAGCCCCAACGTCTAATTATTTCAGCCATAATCAAAAACGAGACTGCCATGAAGGAATTGAACGCTAATTGGGAGAAGCTTGCGCCTATTGCCTTTGGCTATGAAAGAAACACGGAGCAGTCGAAAATTGTAAGCAAGGCTGTCAAGACCTTCTATCTGCAAGACAAACCCATCGAAAAGTCGCAACTGACAAATCTCGCACAGGTAATACTATTTTCAATTGAAATATTTCTTATGATATACTTATAGTATCTGTCATGAAAAGACCAGAGTAGAAGTGACATGAGATATGAAGTTGAACGAAATAACTTATCTAATCGGCATAATGTCACTTTTCAAGGTACGTGATAGCCGTGCCGATCTCATTGATTTACGAGTAGTTTCTGATAGATCACGTATATACACCCATTTTTGGGGCCAGCATGAACTAGGATTTGAGGCAAACGAAACAAAATGGCTTTGCACAAATTGAACCAATGAGAAGTAATGGATCTAATGAATTTGTTCGATTTCTTGTAAAATGCATCAGAAACTACAGAACAATGATACGACTTGTGTAAGATGGGACCCTGTGTCTCATATTAAATCAATAGATCCTTCATATATCACATTATTTAGCTACAAAAACTTATTTTTCATTTGTGCTCGGACACAAAAGTTGCCGCAAATTCCTCCAATCAAAAAGGATTTGCGTATACTCGCAAATTAGACGTATCGAAAAAAGGATTGTGGTCTAATCAAAACGTTCATCAAACCTGATACGATTGTCATGACCCCGTTACTGAGCACTTTGTTAAATATAACATTGTCTCAATGTTCTGCTTAATAAATTCTTCGAAATCATTCTCTATTTCCATAGGCATTTTTCAAGAAATCGACCATATTCATTAGATGCACTACTTCAAAGACGCCTTCTCATTGGTTGAATTTGTGACCAACGCGCTTTTTTGCGCACAGGCTTGGTAAAATCGACCCTTAGGAAGATAAATTGTGACCTTCAGTAACAGACAAGAGACAAATCTGATACCTTGCAAGCTTTTACATTGGTGTTTGTGGTGTCAATTTTTGTCAAAAGATATACGCTTTACACGAAACGTGCTCTGAATGCGTTCATTCTACCAAAGACAGCCAACCATGGACAGCTGTTTTCTGCTTTTTAGCTACTCATCAGCAGGTTGTAGGTCTGGTATCTCGGTCAACGAACGAAAGCATAGCAACTATACACTAAGAAATGTATTGGCTAGTAGGCCGTATATACTACACAGCTAACATCCTTGCCATCTAGCGGTCACGTGATGACTGTGCCTCCCTCCAATTCGTGGACTGAAATACAGTGAAAGCTCCCATAAGCGGACACTCACGGTTCCGTAACTTTTGTCCGCTTATGGGAGGTGTCCGTTTAAAAGAGAGTATGTAAGTATAGAGTATAAATAACGGGGTATATAATCATGAGGAAATGAGGTATTATAATCATGAGAAAAATGAAACAGAAACTCGCCACATTTTTAAAGTATGTATTTATGCTATATATCTATATAATATATGTACATATACGCATACAAAAACATAAATGCTTCAATACATGGTACGAGAATTTAAAAAAAACATTATTCTTTAGCTTGTTGAAAAAAGTTTAAAATGTTTGTCTGACGAAATTTCACCATCTTTTGCTGACAATTTTCGTAATAACTTTCTAAATTTTTCAAATGTTGAAATGCAGTGAAATCATCTTTAGCAAATTTTTTCAATATAGAAATATGATTTAGAGCTTCCCCATATGAATTTATCGTTTTTGAACCGCTTAGTGAGTCCACCAGTTCCACTTCTTCTTCTGAGTCGTTTGGACTACCATATTCAAGTTGGCCTGGGCTTTCTACATCCAAATTCGAAAAGTTGCCAATGTCATTTTCTTCTGTTGTTATGTTATTGTCTATGGCCAGGAAATCATCTACTTTCTGGGGATCTGCTACTCCTAAATGTTTGGCATGTCGCAGTAACTGAGCAAGTGTCGCTAAGGGCAGATCGTCTTCAGCATCGCAATAATTTTGCTCAGCAAATTCTGAGCTACATTCACTTTTTCTGAATCCAGCTTTGCCAAAACAGTTTTTAATTGTAGAGGAATTTACTTTATTCCATGCTGTTTTTATAAAATACAAAGCTTCTAACACATTGATAGACTTTGTAAGCTCAGATAAGCTTTGACCATCGTCAATTTTTGTTAAAATATGTTTTAAAATCAAGTGCCGATAATAAAATGTAAAGTTCTGTATGACACCTTGATCCATGGGCTGACAAACAGAAGTTGTGTTTGGCGGTAAAAATATAATTTTCACATTTTTCATTTTCATATCACGAGGATGAGAGCATGCATTGTCTAAAAATAAAAGAACTTGCCTTTTTTGGATTCTCATTTTCCGGTCGAATTCGACTAACCACTCAGACGCTGGTAGATCCTTAATAGCAACGTTTTTTAAAGCACGGGGACGAGCCGCTTTCCCGATCACAATCAAATCGCATTTTTCACCGGCCATATTTGCACAGAATAAAATGGTTAGTCTATCTTTAGACAACTTTCCACCCACACATGTTTCTCCTTTAAAGGACAGAGTTTTGTCGGGCACTGCGCGAAAAAAAGTCCACTCTCATCTGCGTTGTACACATCTTCTGGTTTGTAGCCAAGCAACATGGACGGAAGTTTCTCCAAAAATTGTGACGCATCAACTTGATCTACTGCAGCAGCTTCGCCAGATATGCATTTGAAACTCACACTATGTCTCTTGCGCCACTTTTGCAGCCACCCGTCGGACGTACTGAAATTATTATAGCCCAAAGTAGTGGCGATTTCTTTAGCTTTCATTTTCACTAACGGCCCTGAGATTGGAATGTTCTGACTTCTAGCTTTCACAAACCACTCAAAACATGTTTTGTCTATAGCAGAACCTTCCTTTTTAAAAAAATCCTTTTGATTTATATTAGTTCCTGATTGCCATTTACTCCTGATATCTTCCTTATTTTTGGCAATTTCAGCTGCTTGCGTTTTCCCAATATTAAACCTCTTTGCCAAATGACGAACTGAAACACTTTCTCTGTCTAATACGTTAACAACTTCCATCTTTTCCTTTAACGAGAGCATCCTTTTTTTTGGTGCCATTTTACAGTTACAATAATAAAATACGTAACTCAATCAACTACGAATTTGCCTGAACTGAAGACAAGCCACAAGATTACATACAGGCTACCCAACGAAATGCGTAAATGGGGAATCACCTAATATAAATCGGGGAATTACCGAATTTTATGTATGTAGATATGTGCATTGCAATAAGCGGAACTAAAAAATCGTGTATTAGAGTTTCGCGTCCGCTTATGGGAGATTTTTTGATCACATACAGGAAAATCTAGTGTCCACGTCCGTTTATAAGAGCGTCCGTTTATCGGAATGCATTTAACATTGAAAATTGATGGCTGAAGTTCGGTTCCAGGAACTTTGTCCGGTTAAAAGAGATGTCCGCTTATAGGAGCTGTCCGCAAGGAGAGCTTTCACTGTATATTCTGTCCCAAAGGGTAGCTGCTGCTCAGTGTTCGCAGTAGTCGATTCTAGTGATTGATTGCACTTTGCCCTGTCTTATTCCAATATATGCTTCATTCTTATCTTTGGGGAATCATTGTTTTCTACACAATATTTTCGCAAACGCAGAAGTAGGCACACACATGCTTTCGTGGAAAATAACTTTTTAAAATCGTATGCGGCCTAGCAGACCAGCATATCTACGTTCTAGATGCGCACTGATTCGCAATAATTCAGCCGATCCATACCTCCTGTTCCCGATAGCAACTCCAGAACTCCACAATGCACACGAGGTGAATGGTGGATACACAACAAATATTGGACCAAAGCAGAGCACTGTGGAAAATTAATTTCTCGTTGCAGGAGGCCGGGTATTGTCATTTGTTAATTCCGAATATTTATTGACAAACTCGATGTGTAGAAACTGCTGCTGCTATGCACTATATTTGGAGGAGGCACAAGGTATAATGTATGGTGTAGATGAAATGTTAACTCAATAGCACATAAATTGAAATGCTGTATCGCTTTAGTCATTCTGAGGAGCATGGCTCTATTGAGGTGGATTCCAATATCTGTACTTAAAATCGAGATGATCTAAATTATTGAACAACTGTTCTGATGAAGTTCACTGAGTAAGGGCGAGAAGAAAACGTATTCTTGTCCAGTTTCTCTCATCATCTCTTGACTCTATAGAAACTATCCCTGAACAAAGATCGCGATAGCAGGCACCCACACAGGCGCACAATGGTATATCTAAGCAAAAACAGGGCAAAAATTAAAAAAAAGAACAAATTACAAAAGTGAATAATAATTATTACCTATTTTAAAGCTTATACCATAAACAATAGGTCGGCCATAGAATCAAAACCTTTACCACAACTTTACGCATGGCAGAATCTTGAACTTGGAGTTTTTGGTGTATCATTTGATCATTCCAACAAAATTGGACAGCTTCTGTGTCATGTGTTGAAAACATTCGAGCATCTGAATACGGATCATAATAAAGAGAGTACGAACTTTCACTTGATGTAATAGAAATTATTGTTGTTTTCATGTACACCGTGAATTGAACGGATTACTATTTTTAGCTTTACTTATATTATTATATTTTATTATATTACTTATATTAGCATCATTCAGAGAGGTTTTTAATGAGGTTCCGCCTATTCCTCCTATTGAGCTAAAAGATTTTTATGAACCTTGAAGTACTGCCAGATATAATGAAATGTTAGATTTTGCTAGATTTAGTGAATTACTGAGAAATATGACCTTATACTCTGCCATCTCATGACAGGTAGTCAACAATAATTATACAACTTTTTCGATTGAGATTTGAGTGACATTAAGGTTCTTTTCAAAATGCCTTCCTAGTGACAAACTTATCTCCGATTTGGACGCAACAACCGTAAAAACCTATGTGACCCGCATCTGGACTCGATTACTGGACTTATTTCTAATTTGTCTTTTAAGTGACCCTGAAATCACCATCAGATGCCCTTTTAGTGACAAATTGACCTCTGTCTGATTCTTCTTAAAGAACTAAAAAACCTAAAGAACATGCTGTTGGGATCAACTATTGGCGATTTTTTGCAAATGTCCTTGATATGACCTTGAGTTGACCTTCAAATGTCTGCATAGTGACAAACTAACCGCAGATTTATAATCAGCGATCCAAAAAAAAAGATTATATTGAATACAGTATAAGTGCCGTATAAGTTGTATTTTTATCATATTTTTGGTGTTTTCCACGTGCGGCATTACGGTCATGCTGGTTGGGAATGACTCAGATTCCTTGCCCAGTTATCCTTGGAGAGGTGTCTGTTTTGCTGACTCAGATACGTCGACTGTCTGTTCGACGATAAAACTAAACTGACCTGCGTTGGGTTGTCGAACCTACACTGCTGAACTACATATAAGTATTCAAAAACTTCAAACTCGTACTCTGGACATGTACAAAAAGTGTGTTTGTTACTTCTTACTACATTTATGTTTTAGATGTATGCTGATGCTCACATTGGATTTGCGGTCAATAGAGCTGCCAAGCTGTTTGCTGAATACAACAACAATTCTGTATATTATTACAGATTCAGCTACCAAGGTCGTTACAGTAACTTCTACACCCCAGAGAGTAACAAGACTGCTCCTTATGGTAGGTATGGTTAGGAAAAATATCATTGCTAGAGTTTACAATAAAGTAAGTTGTAATTTCATGGCTATGTTAGGTACTACCAACGAATACCAATAGTTCAGAAGGATCCGAGCCTACATTGCATTGTTTGTCGCCAAAATTATATACTTTCAGTGCATAAAATGCCAAAAGGCAAATTCGCCTAACATTGCCTACCAAAGTAACACCCCAGTACACCAGCGTACCTTCTTTTCTCTGGAAAAGACAAGTAGCTGTTAATAAACAGACATACATTTAATAAGGCAAAGAAACGAAAGTAAACATCTATTAATAGTACAGTATGTGAACAATTCTGCTTAATTCGTGATTTTGAAGGGTGAACTATACGAATCACTCTCGCCATCAAATAACAACAAGGAATGGTGGAGTACCTGATATTGGAAATATTGGGATACCTTGCATGAATTCTACTCGGTTTTTTTTAAATATTCGCCGTGATTCGAGCAGATTCGTGGCTAAAAGTAAATATCTAGTTACGCATAGTATGAAAATGTCTGCTGTTATATCGTTGTCACTATATTTATTCAATAAAAGTATCAAGAAGCATTATAATGAATTCGATATTGATAATTCTCTTTGGGCGTAAGTTTCCCCCATAGAATTTCGTGGAACTAAAATAAGATCATAAAATTACTACTTATAGGTAACTTTTCTAAGACCTATTTGATACAAAATTGAAATAGTTAGAGTTGAATTTTAGTTTAGATTAAAGTTTCGATTGGACCTCTTCAGTATTCAATAAGCAAATAATTCGGTTTGTCTCCAATTTTTTGCATTTTTCAATGTTGTTAGGTATTCGAATTATCTTCATAACCGTCCAGGTACAAGCTCAATATTGAGTTGCCGATGGCTATAATATATAACGCTTATCCATAAAAGATTTGCTTTTATTCTGCCTTTCGCAATCCACAAAAACTGTCACCATTCTCGACAACTAACTGGAACACTTGGTTTGTATGCAACCCACGCACTTTAATACATTTTCGCAGAAAACTATCAATTTCGTGTGAAATGTCAACAACAGTCAAACTGGCGGCTTAAGTCGAATCGAGTTGCACTACGAACTTGAATGCTGACGTAAATTTGGTTACAAACAAATCGTATACTAGCTCCTTCTACCTAGTCCAAGTTCGTTAGGTACTGCACTATCTTCCCGGATAATACAACATGTCAAAATGTGGCAACAATTAACATCTGATCATTTATTCAAAATACCTCATATCATCAGGTGTCTCCGTTATTTATCGTACGAATAGCGACGCTAATACTTTTGTGTGAGTTGTTTGGAATAATCAATGGTCATTTCATGTCAGTTGAGAATTAAACTTTTAAAAATGATTTGGTGGAAATGGTTCTGACTCTCTACTAATGCCCACAATCAGCAATGGCGGGAACTTGGAGACGTTATTATCTGTTACACTATCTTGGTAGATAGTTAAATAAGTAATCTTAATTGATACTGTAATATAAGTAGCGGAATAAGTAACAAAAAATGGAAAACTAAGAACTCCCATCAGACTTCCCTTCTGTTCCTTCAACCAACATAAAATTACCAGTTTTCAGATATCACTCTTCTCTCGTTTTCAGGAGTTGTCCACTTTGATGATCTGATCTACCTATTCCACAATGATAAACTATTCCCGTTATTCAAAGAGACATCCCCGACTGAAATTGAGATGGTCGCGAAATATACTACAATTTTGTACAACTTTGCAAAGACTGGGTAAGTTTTTTCTTCATTTCTAAATATTGTTCTTTGGATGGATCGTTCTAAGTGTGCACAAAAAGTTCATAATGAAACGGAAGATGCACTAGACGAAAGACTGGACCTTAAGGCTGACAGTGATTCACTTAGCAAGAAAATTCAAAGTAAAGAAATGCGGGTGTAAATTGTGATGTAAAGGTATTTAGGTATTGTACACGTAATGGTTCTTGGGTTGTAGTTTAGAATACATGCATTGAAAATATTACTGTACGCTCGAAACCAATACTCTACGCTACATATGTTCATTAAACTATTGCATTTTTTTTATTTGAATCAACTGCTATTCGCTCGGTCTGCAACGACAGCGTCTAGCGGATCGCGGTAATGTCGGACTGTTTACAGGGCATTCGAGGTTCAGAAAAATTTCAATATCAAACTGACAATGTATTCTCGATTTGTCTCATATTACTAGATCTCAGTTGATTTCCCATGATGTAGATACTTTTTATCCACTGCGTGTCCTGCCGTCTATTTAGTTCCCCCCACTATGCGCTTTGCTCTCGACGAATAAGCTACAGCAGTATTCTAAATCCAATGACATGGAGTCGTTACGGTACCTGACTGGTTAATGTCGAATGAAGAGCTGTCATTGGCTGGTGTATTTTGTGCTAAACACCTCACAGAATCTACTCATCACCCACTTAGGAGAAAGATCTGACAGAGGCGACAGTTTATCAGACGATACCCAAAGACCTCTCGGTTTCTGCGCCACCCGTCACCGCTTGAAGAAATATCGTCCGAATTTCGTACGTTCCACATCCGGGGCAGCAGCTTATTTCCTGTACTTAGAAAACGTTCGTCTAAGTATGGATGTTGTTATGCATGCTTGCATGTCACATGTAGGGGATATCGGGCAAAGTAAAAGTCTAAGCATTCTGCTACTGCTACAAGAATGCTATACAATATCGAATTGATAAAAAGATCGAAGCTGTTTCGATATCTACCAGTATTCAAAAAATAAACAGTAAATCTTTGGAGGCTATTGCTATCTGGTGGACAGTTAACTAAAACTGATGGCTACATGCAATGGCTGCTCTTAGGAAATCGCATTTTGCATGAATTAATTGAAGTTTTAGTACCCCTTTCGACTGCAGCATATAAATAACAATAAAAGTTGGAATATGGATTTAGTACACATACTACACAGTCGACTTTACCTTTATGCTCTTTGGCCAAAGTCACTTACCTTGCAACTTGCATTCTAGCAAAACTATCGAAGCAATGAATCTGATTTGTATGACTACTGCAAGTTCGTTAAACGTACATTTGGTATCTTAGGAAGCTGGTAACGTAAATGGAAGATTGCAAAGCCTGTAAACCTATTGTAGATGTTGTTTTCTCCGAATTAATGTGGTACAGCTAAACTGAAAATAAGATTATGTATTACAGAAACCCCATTCCAACGCCCAATGAGAAACTGGACAATATCAAGTGGGAACCATTCACGGTGAAGGAGCAAAAATATATGGAGATCGGCAACAAGCTATCCATGCACGAAAAGCTCCACGAGAAACGATTTTCAGAATGGGAGAAGCTATACCCACTAAGCATCTACACGAAGAACAAGCAAAGTCATTAAGGCGTTCTACAAGAGTTTTTATTCTGTGAATAGACTCATTTGTATAATGAAATGGAAAAATCACGAATATGTCATAATTATATATAAGTTGATAATTTTGTCAATAAAACCGACTTGTTAACAGTTTGTTTTCTTATGTTAGTCACGAAAACACACGGCAACATTGATACTGGCCAACCTATGAAATAAGTCATACCTTTATGGGTGTGACATGATTCAACCATAACAGAAAACCATTTGAATAACTTTACGTATGGTCTGTTTACCTCTCGATACCACAGAATCTTATTAATCGAAAACAGTGAATAGCGACATCTGTTAAACTTGGGTGTTTCACTTTCAATAAATCAAATACTTATTTTGTATCACCCTATATAGTGCGGTAGGTTACAGTTTGGATTCTGTTATTTTTTGTCAAATAGTACTACTGATGGCTTCTAATTTGGATCTTAGACTCTGAAGGCATTATCTAATTAATATTCTCCAATTTTTTTGTCTTCCGACGTCATCAGAAATAAATGGGGATGATGTGGCTCCTAAAACTTATCCTGTGGTTTTCATGTTCATAAGACGACATATCACGAAAAACCACGCCTCTCCTTTCCGTCGGTCTGTCCGTTGGTAAGTCGGTCTGGCTCCTCTCTAAGTCACAATGTATTGCTTTGATTTTGACGAGATTTTGGAGGAAGTTACTACGACGTTTTTTAATTGTTTTAAGTGATAAAAAATGGCTTTAGTATGTTTATGTGCTTCTAGCCACAGCAATCTCGCAACCTGGCCATTGGCAACGTTCTCGGATCGCAGATTTGACAAATCGGTGGAGACAGAACACTAATTGTAATTTAATGCCTCTGCCACACATGTTCTATTTAACTTTCTTCTTATAGAAGCTAACTTGTGCCAGGATCCAGATAATTTTGCACCTTTGGATGATACAGTTTTTATACTTGCATAGTATATCATCATATATCAAGTTTATCAACATACTTCGTCTTTTTCAAAAATGATTGTGGCTGATTTGATTGTGAGAATAACAGGTTGATAGACTGACATTGACGGTTGTCACTATAAATTCGCTCATTAAAATTCAATCACTGCTCAGCTAGAAACTCCATACTCATTCGTCACGTATGATAACCGCCTCAGAATGCTGAAAATCAGCATTACCTGTAGCATAATTTGGCGATTAATTGTGGCTACGTTCCAACAAAGCCGTGTACCGAACAGCGAACCGTCACGACAGTGCGCAGTACGTTTTTAGTGTCACTTAAAACGTACTGCGCACGCTCATTATGATTCAGTGTACAGTACACGGCTTTGTTGGAACGAAGCCTGTATATCAATATTTTTACATCCAAAAATAAGAAAAGGCAACATTACACTGTGAATGCCCTGCTTTATTCAGTGAATATATTTTCTGCCGTCATTGTAATTAGGCGTTTTCAGGAGTATCATTGTATAGTCAATTAATCGAGGTAGGTCTAGATCTCAATTTATGATTACACAAATAACTGCATATTCATTTACCTCTGATGAACATAAACGAAACGCATAAATGAACTTTATCCTGTTCAAGACTGTGCATTATAATACAGGATGTCACAAAAATAACATGCCAGATTGACACTTGGGGTAGACTGGCTTCAGATCAATCCGGTAAAATCAGCATGACCTTAGTAAAAATCTTCTAGTTTTCGAGTTATTGCCACTTTTAAGTTTTTTCAAAGAATCCTTACCTTTTGCTCCTTTTTTGCCTGTTATGGCGATAAAGATCTTATAACTTACGATTTTCTCCTGGACTTCCATTGATAGTTGGTTGAGACAACCGAGTATTAATTACATTAAAAATTAGCAGGGTGTGCTAAGAAAAACTAAATTATTACATTTAGTTTCAATGCGAAAACCTAGTTCCACTACTAATATATTTTTTAGCATACCGTGCCAATTTTCAATGAAATAAATATTCGGTTGTCTCAACCAACTATTAATGGTAGCTCAGGAAAGAAAATCTTAAGCTAAACGTGTTTGAGTTTAACAGGAAAAAAGGAGCAGAAAATAGGGATAGAGTGGCAATATCTCGAAAACTAAAAAACTTTTACTAAGGTCCTGTTGATTATATTTGATTGATCTGAAGCCATTCATGCAACAAATCTACTAATCCCATTTGTTGCAACTGTGTATATTCAAACAAAAAATATAATAAAAACTATAATACACATAACTCCCCTACAGATAAATGTTGTGCTGTATTTAAATTTTTCCAACAAAGACATATATCAAGAATTTTATTCTAAATTGCTAAGGACTCAGAATATTTATGAGTAGATACATTACAGAATTTGGACCTGAAATAATTAAAACAAATATTTTAGACGATTTACCTACAACAAAGTTACGTTTTTCTAATAATATTGATTCAGGATTGAACATCTTTCACACGAACATAAGGAGCATTCATAGAAATATGAATGAACTTCATGCCTTGTTGGATATACTAGATTTTAAATTTGATGTTATAGTGCTAACTGAAATATTTAAAATATATGATACAAGTTTGATTGAAATTCCCAATTATGATTTATATTATAACGATGGTAGTTTTAATAAAAATGACGGGGTTCTGATTTATGTAAGACAAAATTTGAACAGTGGGTGTGAAATTATTAATATAACTCAAACAAAACTTTTACGAGTTATTCTTCAAAAGAATAATAAATGGATACAGATCATTGGTGTGTACAAATCACCCTGTATATCTGTAACAACAATTACAAAATTATCTAGAAAACAGTAGAAAAATTGACATCAACTTATTCATTGGAGACCTTAACATTAACATATTAGATCATAACAATCAAAATATTCAAGATTATTTAAATATAATGGCTGAACATGGTTACCTGTCAGCCATTAACGAAATGACAAGAGTAGAAGGAAACAGTGGGAGTTGTATAGATCATAATATATGTTTATAAATTCACGTTTAGAACTTGACAAAATATATTCAGCAATTCTAAAATACAATATTTCTGATCATTTTCCTACTTTGCTCAAAATCGATCTTGAAAGTACATCAACCAAAATTGAAAAGACAGTGAATAATACAAAAATTTACATTGATTATGAAAAACTAAATAACAACTTACTCAATGAAAATTGGATTGTAGTATATAACGAACCTAATATTGAAAACGCATTTGTCCTTTTTATATCTAGCATTGAAGGCCATATTGCTGAATGCACCAAAACAGTAAAGAATCCACGAACACAAATAAAAAGACAAGCATGGATATCAAAAGGGATTATTACCTCCATCAACAAAAAAATAGAATTATATAAGGAAACCAAAAAATACCCTTATGATATTAAACTTTTGAATGAATTTAAATCATATCGAAACAGACTGACAAAAATAATTAAAGAGGCTAAAATTAAATATCTCCAAGACGAGTTTGATAATCTACAAAATTGTTCGTCCAAAATGTGGCAATTTATCAATAAAATACAAGGCAAAAAACAAAACAACAAAATTAGTACAATTAAAAAAGAAAATGGTGAACTAGTGAGTAATGATGTAGATATAGCAAATGAATTTTGTGAATATTTTTCAAAAATTGGGAAAAGGTTGTCAGAAAGCATAAAAAACGCGGAGAAATTAAATTATAGTAAGACCAGATTATATAACTCATTATATCTGGAACCGACCGATACGCATGAAATAAAGACAATAATCAATGAATTGAAATTAAGAAAATCTCCAGGTCTAGATAATATAACAGCCTATACTCTCAAAAGAATAAATTGCAACATCTGCGGCATACTATCATATTTGATAAATTCTTGTATGAATAAAGGAATATTCCCTTCATGTTTAAAACACGCTATGGTAAAACCATTATTTAAATCTGGAGAAAGAGAAAAACCCATCAACTATCGACCAATTTCCATCTTAACAAATTTTTCTAAAATATTTGAAAAAGTGTTAAAAAAACGATTCACCGAATTTGCAAAAAAATATAACTTAATAGCGGAAGAGCAATATGGTTTTCAAGAAGGCAAATCTGCTCAAGATGCTATTGTAAAATTAACAAATAAAATATACACGAATCTCGATATTGGCAAACCATCTGCTTGTGTTTTTGTTGACTTGGCAAAGGCATTCGACTCTATTACTCTTGAATCGCTTTTAAAAACTTTAGAAAACTTAGGTTTCCGGGGAATAACATACAAACTTATAGAAAATTATTTTTCAAATCGAACACAGTGCGTCAAAATTAATAACACATTCAGTGAACCCCATATTATATCACACGGTGTACTTCAAGGCTCAGTATTAGGACCCATTTTATTTAATCTATTTATCAACGATTTGTTCAAAATAAATAGTACAGGTAAAGTTATCGGTTTTGCGGATGATACAGCTATTCTCTATGAAAGCAACCAGTGGCATACACTAAAAACCACAATCGAACATGATTTCAAAACATTTATAAATTTCTTTTCGGAAAGAACTTTGACAATTAATTACAACAAAACACACTATATAGCATTTTCTTGTAACGACAGGCTCTCACCGCATTTTAAAAAACTTGAAATTCATACAAGCAGTGGTCTCAAAGAGATTCAGTCAGCCGATAAAATAAAATACTTAGGCGTGAATTTGGACAAACACTTAAAATGGGATACCCATACAGAGTACCTTGTGAAGAGAGTGAGATGTATTATTCCAAAATTCAGGTACTTCAGAGATATTCTAGATAAGAAATATTTATATAATCTATATTATGCTCTTGTTTATCCTCTATTACTTTACGGAATTTTGGCTTGGGGGGGAGTTATGAATAATAATTACAAAAAGGTTGAGGTCATCCAAAAATTAATTCTAAAATTGATCCTCCATAGGGAGATTACTTATTCAAGTGATTTTCTATATGTGGAGGCTCAGCTATTAGATTGCAGACAAATTTATTTTTATTGTGGTCTAATACATTATTTCAAATATTCAAAATACTTTAATCGTACCATTCATAACTACCCAACAAGGTTCAATCAAAATTCAATGTGTATTCCACAAACATCAAAAACCATTGCACAACGATCTCTGTTTTTCTTGGGACCAAAATTCTATAACTTCATACCAGAGTCATTAAATGTAATTAAATCAAATAAATCATTTAAAAAACAACTAAAAAAATGGATTTTACAACAACCAAGGTACTCCATCCACGAAATTGTAGATCTGAAAAATCATTATCAAAATCAATAATATTTTACTTACACTAACATCCATACTTTTACTTCAGTTCTAATTGTCTGGATATTTTTCCTGACATTACCATAATAATTCACCAAATTATAGAGTATTAACGGGTTTTTTCTTTTTTTTTTTCATACACTGACTGTACTATTAGTTTTTATTTTGTACAAACCCAAACACAAGTGCAAACTTTTTTTGGGTGCTTTATGTTTATTGTGCACAATATTTGATATTTACTTGTATTTTGTGACAATAAACATTATTATTATTATTATTATTATTATTATTATTATTCTACCTCCTGTGTCACTCTGACGTGTTATTTCTGGGACACCCTGTATACGAAACAGTATATCAGTATTTTTTCTACCTGATTGTCATACAACACCCAATTAGGAGCACTTTGTCCGTAACATTCGATACAAATATGCTCGTTAGTGCCCTTTAACGTATGCTCCACAATACCATAATATGTAAGGATATTTTTTAGGCGGATAATTTCAAATTCACATTATGGAGCCCCAAAAATATATTCTAGATCCGTTCCTGTACCGAATTTTAAAGGAACTTCGATTACCGTTTGATCCACCCCAAAACGTGGCTGTATACATCAGGGTTACTTGTTTCATAATTTGAAATTCGATTTGTATATTCTAGAAGCTGTGCTTTGAACTGATCTTATACATGCTACCCTTAGGACGACATATGAGCCCCTTCCCACTTCAGTTGGCCCACTTCAAGATTTGTACCAAAATATGTCTTTATAAACTAAACATGACGAAACTTTTTACATCTAAAACAATTTATTTTCTCAAAAACATTTTATATACACTCGAGTTGTAAAAAATACATATTTAAAATCACTTAGACCTATAACTAATAGAACATCTGAACCATTAAACAATGTGCGAATAAATGCGCGAAGTTAACAAACCAAAAATTGAAAGATTACCATTGGGTAACATCACCCTTATTTATTATTACGGCTGAAATTCTTTGGAGCATAGTGTTAACCAAGTTTTGGCAAAAATTTGGTATAAAACAATCCCATATTTCTTGAAGCTTTTGTCTCAGTTCGGTGATTGTACGACCAGGATGTTGTCGTAGAACCTTTTTCATCTCGTGCCACAAAGTTTCAATAGGTGACAGATCTGGACTGCTAGAACCCCATTTCAAAAGTGGTACATTATTTTCTTCCATCCATTTTATAACCATTTTTGAGGTATGGCACGCTGCACCATCTTGCTGAAACACAAAATCTTGGCCGGATGTCAAACATTCTTCCATCACTGGTAAAAGCGATTCTTCTAAAATTGCCAAATATTTGTTGGTATCCACATTTCCGTCAATAAAATGAAGTTTTTCTACTCCTTTTGATGACATACTGCCCCAAACCATAATGGATGAAAGTTCACTTTTCTCTTCAGACAGTCAACATGGAATGCTAAATTTTTTTGCGAATAACTCTACTGCGACTGTCACCAACACAAACTTCGAATCGGGCCTCATCACTCCATTATATTGCACACCATTGTTGAGGTGTCGATTGTCTATGTTCTTTAGCCCATCTAAGCCGATTTTTCTTTTGCAGTGGAGTTAATAGTGGCTTTTCTTTAGCCTATAAACAAGTTGTACAACTTTAGGGCTTTTTACTTCACTTTTTTTATAAGAAAACTTACCTTGCAAGTGCTAAATCCCAGTTTGTGGGCCTCTTTATTAGTTGTGGACCTCGAAATTCTCCTTTCAACACCGTCACTCCACAGAGCACTTAATTGTAGATAATTGGCACGCCTGTTTTTCACGATTATTCTTCTTAATGCTCTTCGGTCGGCATTTGTGATATTACTTTTTTCAGATAACGTGGCTTGATATTAACTGAACTATATATATATATTCTAACAATATTTCTCACACTCGACCGCGATAAGTCTAACGTTACAATTTCTGAGTTTGATTTCCCAGAATTAAAAAATTTAATTATCAGTAACCGAATTTTCTCACTAATAATCTTTCCTCTACCCATTTTGACAGCTGTGATTAATAAAAACAATTGTCATGGCTTTTATTTTTCACAGCCACCTATGCATTATAGACTTATTTTGCATTGAACTGAAAATAGGTTGATATGCTGTAATTGCAACGTGTTATTTTTATGCTGCAAATTTGATTAGGGAGTGATAAAGTTGGTGTTTTCTACTATATATTATCAAAATATTTATTGTTAATATTTTAAACCTATAACACCCTGCTACATTTTTATTATTTGTGTTTGATAAGAAAAAAACTAAGATTTCAATAGTTAGGTCAACTGAAGTGGGAAGGGGCTCGTATATCGAGAAGCACATCCTAGTATCTTTTATTACTAATAAGCACTTACACGAGAGAGTTTTCATGCGGGAATTCCCATTGAGTGGTGAACAAAATAATGGCATTTCACGGATTTCTTATCCCATATTGTAAAGGAAGAGATGCTTGAATTTTGTCTGGGGGCCTTGGTAATCTAAAATATAATAATTATGTATGTTTTAGCGACATGAAAATGATCATTTCGGATTTGTTGAGCTCATTTTTTTTAACTTTCGATTTTACAGAAATGTTACCGAGAACTTGCTGTGTTCACAATGAGCGAAACAATTTCGATATATGGTCAGTACGGACTAATTAATTTAAATTTTCTTCTCTTTTCTTATGGGCGTCATATTAGCCCTCATTTTAGAGACCACCGCGAAGGTTACTAGGTACACAGGGTGTTCGGAAAATAGATGGAGATATTTTAGAGAGTGATTCCTTGTTAAATAATATGTAAAAAGTTTGTATAAACATGGGTCCGGAAATGCAGAATATTCAAGATACAGGGTGATATTTTTTTCTTTATTACTATCTTAAAAAATATTTACTCGATTCTGTTGAAATGTGAACTGACGCGCAAGTGTCAAACCTTCATGCAGAAATGCTTTTCTGTTTTCCATGGCACTAGTGATTGTTTAGCAAAAATTAATAAAACAATTTTGTCCAGTGACATAAAATTAAACGGTTTTTATTTTTTTTATACGATTTCAGATACTGAAAAAATACAAGAGGCGGAGAAGTATTTTTTGATGCTTAATCAAACAACAAATATTAAATTTACAAAAAAGAGAGTGGCGTACATTTTTTTAAGACTCTCCTCGGGACGCCACTGGACCTAACAATTTCATAGAGCTAAGTTAGCCTATTAACACATATTGCCAAATTTCAACAAAATCAAGTAAATTAGATAATAGTAAAAAAGTCTTTTTTTTTAAATTAATCACCCTGTATCTTGAAAGCTGCATTTCCGGACCCTTGTTTATAGAAACTTGTTTTCATATTTTTTAACAAGAAATCACCCAATAAAATATCTCTGTCTGTTTTTCGAACACCCTGTAGAACTAGGAATACTTCTAATGAAGCTTTATCGCCTTATCTGGATACCCCGCCAGCTGCAATGCAAAATCGGTAATAGTTTCGCCATCTAGTGATAGCCGACAGCAACAGCTTACTGTTAAGGGGACTTTCCTGTAAAAAGTAGTAGTAGCTTCAGCTGCAGGCTCGTTTTACAAGTCAGTAGATAAATAACTTCTTTTTCACGCCTGGACGCTAACATGGTGATCTTTGTTACAAAATATTGTGTGAAAATCTAGCGAGTGATCCTTCGGTCCTTAAAACGTGTATAAAAATAGCCTTACAGCAGCATGATCGCCGGCCATAAACATCCTATGCTTGGAGATATATGAAAATAGGGCTGAATCAGTGGAGATTTGGAGATAGATACTTTGAGCACTTCTTGTAGATTCGGAAACTTATTTTCGCCTTTTGATAAAATCGTCAAATGATAAAACAGTTTTGGGAGGTCTATTTAGTCATAACTTGAACATTTTAACCGTATTCTCGAAACACCCTGTATGGGTATGTATTTGTATCATCGTAACTGCAAAACGGACGAATATGACCTAGTTTTTTGTATGAAGCTTAATTTGAACAAAACTCTCATGTGGAATCTACTTTCCAATTTCTGAAATTTCACTTATATTAATACGTGCGTGTTAAAGCATAATGGCCATATAAAGCTTTCAGTTACAACTTACGTGAACCATCATACGCGCGCAAATTTTCTCACAAGTAACTTTGGGATAATGGGCATAATAAAATAACCTGCTTATAAAAATATTAATTATTTATTAAATACAAACACCATTAACATTTAACAGGTATATAAGTAAACAGAACTGAACATGTGAGACATATGGTTCGTAATTTCTAACGTTTTTCGCATTTTCGCCATGTAGGCCGAAGAAGCATCCAAAAAACATTTTTGCAGCATTATACAGACTTACAGGTAACACGAAAATGAAAGGGGATTGTATCCGACCTTACATCGCAATGCCTAACATCGAATTTATCAGGAAAATACTTGAGATATATTTCCGTATCCTCATTATTCATTGAGCGCCTCTATTTCTTAGACTGGAGAACGAAGATACATGCATCTTTCATACCTAAGATAATGGTGATAATTACAGTGAGCTGATTTCTGGTATAAGAATATAATATGTAATCCACAACACTACAATATAGAAAAAATAGGGTCTTATCTTACATAAACTCATATATTATATACAATTATCCTAAAACTAACTCGCTTGACTATACTGGTCGTACCGACTCAATGATGGCGGTTTCTCATCAAATTCTCTTGTTCCAAATTGATATATTGCCTAACTAGTCTCGAAATCTCATGAGCTTGTTCTGTCTGCAACCTAGTGACTCGTTGCTGCAGTAGATTTCCGCATTTCATATCCAAGAATAGCGCTCCATCTTCAGATCTAACCTTCCTGGTGCTGATCACTTCAGTAAATGGCCAGTGGTGGATTGTTTCATGCGTAACCATGTCCAAAAAGTGAACCCCGTTTCTGTTTAGAGCCAGGATATGCTCTTGCCAGTTGTCATTCTCACCCATAACCCTTTTGACTGCAAAGAATGAGCTTCCAAAGAGCGACCAGTTGCTCAATACCTGCAGAACTCTATGCTTTGCTCTTGATACAGACAAACCAGCTGCCTGACCCCAAGATGTCTGAACCAAAGCCAACCACTGAGGTGGTCTGGGCTCTCTTAGGCTTAGAACAGGCTTTGGTAAGAGGAACTTGACTTCCTTTAGACTAGGTGGGTGACTAAGATCTGCAGCTCGATGAAGAAGAGCTGCAATAAGGGCCATATCTCTAACGACGCTTGGGGGAAGATTGGGATTGCCTAATCGGAGCAATAGGCCTTCTAAGTAGTCTGGAGCTACTTGGTTGAAAAGGACTTCCGTGTAGAGTGGACTAGCATCGTGTTTTAGGGGATGGTACCATACGGACCTAGAAAAAATGGACAAATGATGAGATGTTGAATTATAATTCTATAATACACGGAAGGATTTTCATAACAGTATAGTTGTAGTCACCGTTCTTGGCGGGTCAAAGTAAGACTACGAGTATTCCTTTATATATCTCCATTTCCCTCATACATACACATAAAACATATCCCTGTGTGTGAACGTCTGTTCGGTAAGCTCAAAGATATACGTTTTTCAGTTGTGTCTTCATCTCGAAAACTTTGTCGTTACGTATGAGTGCCCCTCAATCATATTTTTCAGAGTGACTAATTAGTTGACATCGGCGTGCAATTCGAGTTGTCCTGTTATTAATCTTCAAGCCAACAGCTTGTGCTTAATTTATTAGAGTATTTCCAGGAAGAGAATGAAAACAGCGGCTCCTTGTTATCCACTTCATGCGTACCGGAGAAAGTAGCAGATGCGCTGAAGATTATTCTGCTGCTATGGAGACTCGATCTGCTTACTTTTCATATAGCGGTGATGACGTAACCGCCAAGAACGATACCTAACTATAACTATACCTGAATATTCCTAAAATCCGTTCAGTGACGACAGAATTATGATGAAGTACCAGACCGTCTCCAAACTTCCTTCTCCTACGTTTTTTGGCATTCTTATCATTTTAGGTATCAGGTATGATAGGTTCGGCATAACTCAAAAAAATCCCCTAATCATGTTATGTCTAGTCCTTAGCAGTTACTATGATTGAAAGTTACCTGCAGAAGATCAAATAGAATGGTTGTGCAGCCTTATGCAGTTCCGTAGTCACATCCAAAATGTATTCGTCTGCTGCCAATGGCATGGTGAATGCATCTCCTTGAACTATGCAGTACAAACTGAATTCTTGTTGTTCTGCCTCGTTAGTGATGCCGATCAGTGTGCAGAGTTCACTTATCACGTCTGCAACTACTGTACTGCACCTGAAAAATATAAAGAAATATAAAATGTGTGAAAGATATAATTTCGAGCCTCTGGGAGGGCAAAGACACTAAGGTGCGAGCATATCTCATCAGCGGTTGTCTGTTTTGTACTTGTTTAGGATGTTTCACCATCGTGGAGTGTAGAGATGGTGGGCGAATTTTTTATTACCTGGTATTGACGACTCTCTCTGCACCCCCTGGCAATCGATAGATTTGCCTTCTTGCACTTCTTCCAGCACTCACAGCTGTTACTTCCTCTACCGATGGAACGTTTTTCCTTCCTGCAAATGAAACAGTTTTATAACAATCAGTATCAATAGACTTTTGTGTTAACTATAATCACTGCGTATTCTACCTGAAGATAGCCAACCCAATAAGAGAGTATCGCGTCTAAAACATTACTCGATATATACTAAGTGACATATAAATCCGAACACCCAGTTTAAATGGTTTTACTTTAATAAAATTTTGTATAAGTACTTAATGAAGCATAATAAGTAAATGATAAAAAATTCAAAATGATTGCACTGTTTTAAAGCCCTTTGACCTTTAATAATGTGTGGATGCACCCTGATGTGCTACGCATTCTCCAACGCGCCTAGGCATGCTTCTGATCAGGTGGTCAATGTCGTCCTGTGGTATCTCATTCCAGGCAACCACCAACTCCTCTCGAAGTGCTTCTAGAGTCTGAGGAGGACGTTGCAAATTGAGCAATCTCCTACCCATCATATCCCACACGTGCTCAATTGGGGATAAGTCGGGAGATCTTGGTGGCCATGGTAACAATGTGACATCATTATGTTGAAAGAAGTCTATTGTGACTCTTGCAACATGTGGTCTGGCATTATCTTGTTGGAAAGTTGGATCTGCCAGGGTGTCAAGATAGGGTAAAAAATGTGGTTCTAGAACTTCGTGGATATAACGCTGCGCGTTCATGTTACCTCTGATGAAGATTAAAGGTGACCTGGAACCATAAGCTATAGCACCCCAAACCATAACTCCAGCAGTGTGATGAACATGTCTTTCAACAAAAAACTGTGGATTCCTCCTTTCACCACGTCGCCTTCTAACCCTGGCACGACCATCGTGCATGCCTAAACAAAATCGAGACTCGTCACTGAAGACGATACTGTTCCATTCCTGATCCCAGAGTGACCGTTGTCTGCACCACTCAAGGCGATTACGTCGGTGTTCTCGAGTTAAAGGGAGGACCCAGTGTGGCCGGTATGAAAACAAGCCAAAACTTCTCATTCGTCGGTAAACACTTCGCATGCCAATAGGTCTTCCGTGTTCTGCAAACCATTCATTTGCAATGGACTTGGTAGTGGAGAAACGGTCCCTTAAGGCCAATAATCTTAGGCGGCGATCTTCACGGTCTGTTGTTCTACGGCGGCGTCCAGTGCCCCTTGATCTTTGCGTACGGCCTTCTCGAAGCCATGCCTGACAACACCTAACCACAGTGTCTACACTTCTTTGCACTCTAACTGCAATTGCCCGAAAAGAAAGTCCAGCCTCCCGAAGTCCCACTATACGGCCCCTATCAAACTCACTAAGTTGACGAAATCGTACAGGTCTCCGTACCCTAGGCATCGTAACCGATCGTAAAGGATGTCAAGAACCAAAATCCGCCAACGTTGATTCTTTACTGCGGCTGAAATATTCATTTTTAGAGCGTTAGTGAATTAAAAAAAAAAGCAGTATAAAAACCGGAATGTCCAACTGATACGGCTGAAAATTTTTTCACTTGTTATTTACAGTAAGATAAATACATTCACCAACTTTTATTAAAATAAAACCATTTAAACTGGGTGTTCGGATTTATATGTCACTTAGTATAAAATGAGATACCAAAGCGTCATATATGAGAATTTGTCACAGTTGCTTCTATATTTACTATATTCACCAAGAAAAGGTTAGCGTCTCATAGGTGGCGCTCTCTATACTATATTTATCTCTCTACGTGTATTAGTGTTTGCTAAAGACCAACACCGCCCCTGGTCGCTGGAGAACTGAATTAAGTAAGTAATGCTTTTTGAGGGACCGTCTTGAATACGAAAAACCGCGCAATCAGTGGCAGCATAGTCTCCATAAAGAGGTTCGTAAGACATTTTCTCAAATATAAAATAAAATATACAATCTTAAAAACAAGATTTTATTTAGCTGATAATAAAACAAACTGAAAATTTAAAAACAGTTTTTTCGATTTAACATTCAAACGATAATGAAGCTCCTTCATTTCAAATTTTTAAATCGAAGGGTGTTACACCCTCGTTCCGTCCTGCTGTCAAAACGTATAATGCTCTTATTTGAAAATTTGTGATGAAGGCATTAGCATTTAAATATTTCCAATCTGAAAAAATTATTTTTAAATTGCTGGTTCGTTTTATTATCTGCTAAATAAAAGCTTGTTTTCAGAATTAATTTTTTCTTATTTTATTAATTTTTTAGTTTTTAGTGCCTGTTTATGATGTCAAATAGTTATTTTGGTAATTTTTATATAATTTTCGTACATTATATTAATCGACACCATAAAACTTCATCTTTTATTTGAATTGTAAAAATTTCCATAGATACAAATCATAGAGTGATAAACCCATATTTTGCGGCGATAACCATATGGAATTTAGAATGATGTTATTTGCTTATTGTGTTTCTCTCATTACGCCCTTTCATTGGATACCAATATCATAGCGGTGACCATGGAAACGAATCGGCATTTAGCTGCGGCCGCCATATTGGATTTAAAATAACGTCGCCTTGCATGTTGTGTTTTTCTCATCAACTCGTTTCATTTGATACTCATACCATATGGTTACTATGGGAGTGACAAATCGCCATTTTGTAGCTCCCGCCATAATGGATTCAAAACGGCGGCAGTTAATTTGTTTCGTATTATCATGCAAACCAAGTGTGAACAAAATTTTAGCTTGTACAAATACGCACCATTTTTTGCCTACTATTCGAGATCAATAGATATATACTAACTGTTATAACTGTACTCGTATACGTACTGCTTTGAGATAAATCAACACATACACTATAAAGTCGAAATTATCATTCGGGAGATAGGTAGGCATTTTGCTGACATATAAAATAGTGTTCAATTGGAAGACCGTGAACATAAAAAGAGTTCAGATGCATTTCAATTGAAATGTATCCTGCTTTGAGAAAGTAACAGTAATTGTTGCAGAAATATTAAATCGTAACTTTTCTCCCTAACCTTGCTAGCACGAAGACGTCATTCATGCAAGTGATTCAGAATATAATATTGTACATTTTAGTAGAGCCTTAAGTTAAACACGTTTGGTAACAAAACTAATAGATAAGATGCTAAAATGGAAAACTCACACAACCGTCAAGTTAAATCATCGTATGTTGTAAAATCGCTCCATAGGACCGCAGAGCTCCTGTGCCATAGTGTCAGTTTTCAAGTCTGTCAGGTCTAGTGATCCAGAAACCAAACAATGTTGAGGCAAGAAAGGCAGAAACCGAAAGAGCCAATAGGAAGAGGATACTCTTATAGGACAGAAAGCCTTTATGTATTGTTAAAATTACTTGACAAATTTTGATATGGTTCAAAAATATTTGATCTTAGTAAAGCCTTTTGAAAGCACTCCAATTTTGATTGTTTTAAACTTATGAATTCTTTTCAATCACAGTGCGAACCGCAGCCTTTTGTGCTTGCGAAAACTTTGAACAACACACATCGCGAAAACCGAGCATATCGGGCCCCAACCATAACTCCCATAACAGTCTATAGCATGTTATACAGGCTAGGAAATTTGACATTCTCACCTTGACAAGCAAAGTAAGAACGCTATGAACGCGTTAATCATTGTAGAGTGGATACTTAATTTAATCAAAGGTTCACTAGGCTCTCCACTGCAATTCTTGTCAGCCATTTTTAGTGATTTACGTGTATGTTTTGGTAAATTGATCATATTGAACCAAAATAGTAAAGAATAGTTCTCACCTCCACAACGTTGCGTCTTCCTCAAATTCGACAGACATACTGCGGCTGTGCCATGGCAAATTCTCCTCCTGTCATTGGCAGCACTGGTAAGGTGTTCCATGAGCACAGGCAACAGGTGGTCAGAGCAAGCAAAGTAAGCCGCCACGATTGACAGCAACCTCCAAGCTCGTTGACACGACTCGGGATGATCTGACTTGTTGCTTGTAGTTTGCTTCATCAGCTGACAATATACTTCGTCTCGAAGCGGTGCATGTTTATGACAGTGCTACAAACAAATGCATTTTCACTTTATTTTGTTTCAAACGTATCAGACTTCAAGTAAAATCTTGTTACAGATTTTGAATGTTTATGTAAAAACAATGCATATAAGTTGGGCAGAATGCACACTGGACACACCCGTTTCATAGTCCAATTTCAAGTTCACACAGCGGTTCCCAAAACGTAATTTCACAACACCATGTTTCATAAAACGCAGAATTATTTGATCCGCATCAAATCAACAAGCATTGCTTTTCTAGGGCATGGAGGGCAACTTATTGGTTGAAGATAAGCGCTTGGTCATGAATATGCTGGCCTCAGTTCTCCTATGTGTGCATGTTAAAACGCAAGTGAGTTCATGAAACATATTTCATAAAATAAGTCTCTCCAGTGCATTACTAGCTTTGTTGATATAGTTATAGTGCCTGCACTGTCGGTACCATTTCCACTAAATTTTTATCCAGACCGATATTTTCTCAGCCATAAAGCCAGCATGAGACAACCAATCTACATTCGACATTCTTCTCACTCGCACTTAAGCTTGCAAAATATATTTTACACTATCCACTGCATCAAACTTCAAATGAGAGTAAATGATATTTAACTTACCATAAGAACGGTATACACACACTTCACCTCAGACATCTCGGGCGTTAGAGGCAGATCCCCACAGTACCTCAATATACACTCGAAACATTCAATAGCTAAAGATGACAATTCTGGGTCCTCCAGCCTTAGTAAAGGTCCATCGATGGGTGTGCCTTGCCATTTCACTAAGTCCGTCTGTTGCTTCCACGTCCATTCTTTCCGTTTCTCCTTCGACTTTGTTGGTGAGTCCATTTTCAGCATATCCAGACTGAAACAAGAGAGTGTATATTTTAGATTTTCTGCTTCCTGTAAATTCTATTCTATCATGTTCTTTCTTTGTTGCACCATATCACCAACAAACTAAACCACCATATCCTGCAGACCTATATGTTAGGTGTTGACGCTAAGCTTTCGTTACTTGCGTTTTTGACGACTATGTCTCTTAGGTCGTCCCTATAACATCTACATGGCCTCTTATGAGAAACTACCTCCTTAAGCGCAATGAATTAGGAGAAATTATTATTTCAGTGAAGTTTACAAAACATATAGCGCCAAAGGTCTTAAATATAAGTTTCTCGTCTTATTTCCGAAGTGTACATTTTTATAAATACATTTAAGACAAGAATCATAGATGTTCTTGAAAAACTGACAGTGTACAACTGAGCATTGAATTCCATAGTTTTCATCGTATTTGTTTGTTAACATGCTGTGGAACATTGTTACATTGGACCTCAATATGAATAGGGCATACATATCTTATAGTACTTCGCCAAACCGTACCTCCGGGATAGAGGATAGTTGCGATGCTTCCGTTCGTTGTCCCAGAGACGACTGGTGAGTAGCCAAGAAGCACCACACAGCTGTAAATGATAGGCTGGTCGAACAGAGGAAAGCATGTCTAGTTCACGACATAGATGATGCACTGAATAAAAGATGATGTACAAACTTGCTACAAACTAAGCCGGATATATGATGTACCAAAAAGACATTACTGGAATTAATAAAATATGTTGCAATTTAGAATGCGGATGGACTGTGGATGTACTAGATCATACATATATTTTAAGCACAATTACAGGAAGAAACCAATTTTATAGCACGAAGCACGCCAGTTTTCGTTATAATAATAATTATTATGAATACAACAACAGAGGTTGAAACATCCACAGTTACTTTAATTACATGGTTATCGTAGCAATAAAATCTGGAGTGAGTTCCTCGCGTTTGCCACCAGCCATTGCTGTTTAAAAAGTTATGCTTTTATGTAGAATAATGTGCAGTGATAAGATGTTTGTGAGTTGCCAAAATGTGTCCAAATTTGTAGTATAAATCTTGAAAACATAACAATAATGTACGGACGTTCATTTTTATTGCATGTTAGCTAGCATAATAGATAGTTACGAGGGTTATCAGAAAATGTCGCTTTTTGTTCCTCGTTCCATCGACTGCCATTGGTTAATCTATGCATAATGCTATTTGGACTACTGTACATATTTTGTAGGAATGCAGTCCCAATTCTTGATATCGTTTTAGGGTCTGGGTAGAATGTAGTACATCAACACTGCATTATGATTTTTCTATACTGCACATGGTTGAAGTTAAATATTAATCTTGTAAATAGTAGAGAAGAGTCGAAGAAAACCATTAGAAAACCATTTTATTTTCGCAAGATTAAACAATACTAGTGACTGTCAACTAAGTCTATTTCTAGACAAAGTAACAATAAAACATATCAAGAAAATCTCTTAATTTGCTTATTTGATGGTTCAGAGCATAAAAAGCACGTGATTGATGTAGATTTTCAAGTAGGTCAAGTTTACTTATTTTAGAAATCCCAGGTAAAACATACTTTAGATGCAGAAGAAAAACGGCTAAGAGTTTCAGGAGGCAATGCTGATTTTATTGGTCAATGTTTAGGCCTCAGTTTAGCCTGATTCCAGTTCGAGTCGAACCTTTATAGACAAATTTGTATGGCAATTAAATAAACATTAAATACTAAGAGCTTTCAGCATGTCTAGAATAAAAGTAGTTTTAAGTATTCAAAGCGGCGTGCTTGGAAAGCCTTGCAAAAAGAACAAAGCATGCATTTTACAATTTATATATTGACTTTACTAACACATGAATATGCTTACAACGTTCATCCAGCCAATAAATGTTATTGACATTATTATAAAGATTTGGTTACTATTCTATCAAAGTATGCCATGACAATAAATGTTTATGCAAGATTTGCTGGATTTTCTAGTAGCCAGATGTTATGTGGTGAACAGCAAAATACTAACTAACTCAGCGTATCAAAAAAAACTATGAAATAAAACACAGTAGGTATGCAAGATTGCCATCGGCAAGGAAACTGCATTACAGAGGACGACGAAATGACAACCATAATTTACATAAAACGGTAACCTGAGGATTCTTACACTTGCTGGTATTTAAAAAATTGCCATAACGGTTAGAAGCTATTGCTGAAAACACTCTCATCTGGTATACATTCTGTGAAATTTCAAGAGAAGGTATTCAGTTTTTGAATACCAATTTGCGTTTTTTATTCATCTAAAAAGAGCATTTCTTCATTCAATTGATTGACCAATAACGATATAGGATCGCTTTTTAAAATGGGAGCTTGACTGACGCGAATTTAAAAACAGGGGACGTGCTACCATGAATCACTGAGCAGGCAATAGGGATGAATGATAGTCGTAGTAGATCCTCTGAAAATGGGGTCTAATATTTTTATATCAAAACTTAAATGTCAGCAAAGGAACTGAGTCGTTTAATAAAATTCAAAGTAGTGCGAGCTGACGATCTGAAAAACTCAGTCAATACCTACGAGTATAAACGTTGGATTGCCATGACTTTATATCACTGTAAAGACAATAATTTTCGTAAATGACGGGCAAACAATACAGAAAGACTCGTAGTTATTTGATAATTTCATCATTTCTACCTAGTACCACATCACTTTCATCAAAACAAATCGTTTATTATTACGTGTTATTAAAAAGGTCGTGAAACTGTCTCACGAGCGGAATAGCATTCCATCATTGTTACGGCGCGTAGATAATCTTTCGCTAATAACTCTTTTGTAATGTTGCTTTGGTTTTACTTTTCATTTTCAACCCATTGTGTGGTGACTTAATGGTTCTAAACAGTAACGTTACCTTTCCTACCGCAGCGTTCCTTAGTGGAATACATAAAAATACAGAATACATTGTGGATTGATTTATGATACAGTCTGAGAACGAAAAAGTGCACTTCTTGAAGATAGACTGACTTAGCTTGGAAAGAGCCTTCCGGTACTATCCACTCAAATACACGTTTTAAATAAAATACTTCATCAAAGCTCATCAAAAACCTAGTTAACTTCAGTTTACTTGCTGCTGGAATGTATCGTATGAGCCTCTATAACACTTGCTAAAGATTTTTTGCGAATCCGTAGAAGTTTTTAATTATTCCATGCAAAATCATTGTCAGGCACTTTTGCAATAAATACTTCGAAACAAGGGCTCAAATTTTGCATACCCTTTTGAAGTGGCTTTTCCTCAAAGCGGCTTCCTTTATGGGACAGTTAAGTCAGACATGACTCTACATATCAATTTGACTCAAAATTCTTTTCTAATACTAAAGTTCGGATAGCAGCCGCGTTGCGATTGGCACCGTTCAGCCATCGTAAAGCGTTCCAGCGGTACAGCGCGTTATGCTGAATAGCAGTAGCCGTAGAATACCCTTGATAATTTGTAATATTAACAAACATACTATCAAATCTGACAGCCAGCTGTCAAACTGTCAAAGCTACCCCGTGACTACTGCTATTGATCATAAGAGCGCTGCGCCGCACGGCTATTATATAAAAAACCTAAAAAACGTCAAAAAAGATTCCGACGAAATTACATCTTGCAGACTAGGTAGTTTTTAGTGGGCAAGTAGTTTTCACGTTTGCTTGGTACGATCACTGTTCGCTGACGTTTAAGCAAGACGTACAGCTACAAAACGAGTTCACAACAAGTGTTCAACAGCTTGTGCTAGTTTAACATCTTGCAGAAAAAACTATGAAATGTAAAACAACCCACGAAATGACAAAAAAATCGACCAAATGTTACTTTCCAAGTTACGTAATACGCGTGCCGCATTACGTTGGCGGAAAGATCCCAATGTTTTCTTGCTATAGCTACATGACGAAATGACACCTAAGTACCTACATATGCATAGATACTTAAAACTTTTTATAAAAAATAATTCACTAGACGGAATACTATTATCTTACTTGATGATTGTGTTTCTATCTTTAACTAACACAAAGCCACTACATAACCAATTGCGCTGTAACAAATTTGTTGAAACTAAGTAAAGATTTCACTATAGAAATCTTATTTTTTTGAGTGCAAGGTTGGAATAACTATTTCCTATTTCAGTATGTCGGACTCATGGCGACAGTCAACAATAGAAATTATCTAGATAATTGTAACTTTCCGTCACACATTGACGCAGTGAAATGTACCAAACGAGGTACATACCTATGAATGCACACATGATGTCACAACAACCTCAACAAGAAAGTGGCGTCAAGTACGTTTAGATGTTGGTATAGATTTCTTATATTGATATTTCTTTGTTCTTAGCGTAATTACGCTTCCAGTAATTTAGATGGTTGAAGTAAAAACAGATAAAATGCCTTCTTCTTCTACATGCGCCTTTCCAGCTACGAACGTTGGATATCAACATGAACCTCTTATCTTAGACATACACGTATGATAATCCATATGACTGACGCAAGTGGTGCTGTAATATTTATTTTTAAAGGAGGTCCAGATTTATAAATATGGCAACAACTTCTTTTCATCCGTACGGGCTGAATTCAACTCTTGGTATGGTCGCCGAAAGTTACTTTTATTAGGTTATGTTGCTGGACACAATTTGCAACCAATTTTCGTGGTGGTTCTGCTCCAAAATTTGAGACTTTGATGCTTGAAGATGTACCACAGAAGATTTCGGACTATTACCTGGATATACTGACGCCCAATTTGGATGCCCAAAGTTGTGTACGTATTGATAAGCTGCCAATTTCGCATCCACCAACAGTATGAGATTTTGTATTACTTAGGGTCGTTATAAACATTCCATTTCTTCGATACATCTATATGTCAAAATTCAGTTGAGCAAATATCGAGAAGCCAAGGGTTATTGCGGAGATAGACAATAGGCATACAAAAAGACAAAGACAGATATATGGCGCAAACGTTTTCAAGACTAGTCTTGCTTATATCAGCATAATAAGTAACCAGCATAAAGCATTTAATTCAATGATATTTACTTGTTTTGGCTGAGAAACAAGTGTACAACTGTGATTTATCATACCTCATAACCAAAAATCGCACCGTATTAGCGTCACTCACTGCACACAGTAGAAACTAACACCATGTGCTACCGCTTCGCCACAATGGCTGCACTAATGGCACATCCCCTACATTTTTCATAACGTAAAAAGCGTCGTATGGCGTACAATAATTACAACTATCGTTTGCCGTAAAGCACCGTGATCGTACTAAACATAGTGCTGGTAAAATGGATTATAAAAATATGAAAGAGAAAGAGAACCGACGGATTTAATAACATGCTTTCTAATTTTTCACGACACGAAGATTCGTGGTGCTCCTGGTATTGTTGGCGGCACGCATAGCGTGCGGACTTGGGATGCACACTGTGGAGAATCCGTGGAAAAACCTTGTTAGTCGGTTGTTAATTATTGCTTACTGAAAGAGATCACAAAGCAAACAGGATGCTAGACTTTGTAAATGGAACACAATTTAATTTGATTTGTTACGTAACTAAAGGCGTTCGCACATTGAGGAGAAGGGAAGCGATTCATGTCGCCTGGAAATGTCAATCAACAATGTTCAACAATAGTCATAAAGAGACATCCATATGTCAAACATTGCAGAATGACATTGTCGCTCTCCTCAATGATTTAGGTGGTGCATGCCATTTCAAATCCTGATCCCTATAAAGAAAGTAACAGTGACTGACAATTCTCATCAATATCCACATTGTCTCTTCTTCTTCTTCTTTTGGAGATGTCTAACTGAATGTCCAATAAAATATAGGATATTCGGATTGCCAGATTTTGACAATTTTTCAAATCGCTTCATACCTCACCACATATTCGGATATACTCTCCAAAAAAAAAAAAAATTGATATACTACGGCGTTTTGATTATTGATTGTTGAGTTATAAACGATTCAATGTACCAACACGCTCAACTTTGACAGCCTGCCAGTCCGCATTTTGGAAGGAGGTGCATAAGGATATAAAGAGCTTCAAAATGAGTTATCAGACTTCCCATTCCATTTGAAAAAATGTTCCAAAATGGCGCCTAGCCACCAACTTGGAGTCTCCAACTGCCTCATTCAAGTTACTATGTAGTATTCATGTATCAAGTTCACTATCCCGAATTTCGGCTTTTTGAGAGGGCCTTTTTGAAAAGCACTGTCTATCTCTTGATGCGATATGAAGTGATTATTGTAGTTTCAAAAACAGGTTTAGAATAGTTGAGGTTGCCATCTACAAGTTCCAAAACACTTACATAAATTTTCACACACATATCAATATTCAATCAAAGCAAGAAGAAAATATAAAGGCGATATAGTGTGTCTAGGTCGGTAACTGGAATCAATGTTTTGACCTTGGACCCCAATTTTCTGGACTTGAGTGAGTCATGACGGAGTAATACTTTGGCGAAAAATCGGCAGATTTGCCCAGAATCTGATCAGTAGCTTGTACCTGGACCCCTCATACATACGCCACTGATAAAAGTTCCTTGACTTGCTGATGCATGAATATGGTCAATAAGCTACAGCCGAGGATTGTGACCGTTGACCGGCTGATTTTACAGTTCAGATGACAGTTGCTGCCATACTGACATGCTACTGACTATCTCCGAGTTTAGAGGACCCCCCAACTGGTTAAATTCGAAGCGTTAACTAAAATATGTACACGAGATAAATCAATCATTTAGATGAGATGGTCAATGATACTAGCAGTAACGACAACCTAACCATAACTAGAACGCAATCTGTAACCTAAAGGTATGAATCGTGTACGGCAGATTTATCAGCAAATATTTTGTGCAGAGCTTCCCAATTTTCTGTACTAATCCATCTTAAAAACGAGTAGGGCTGATGTGTTGTCTTACTACTGTTAATATTGGAAGCCGTTTCCGAATATTGTGCCGATCGGATTAGGATATTCCAGAAATTTTTCTACAGGAAAAGGTATTGTCTTAGTAACTTATATGTCAATATGTTTCAAGGAATTTGAAATATTCGATTCAATTGTCCAACTGAAATAATGAAAGTGATGAAATACAATCTAAAAGGTCATAAGTTTTTTACTTGGGCACTTTTTTATTATAATTATCTACCTAAGAAGAGAAAAACTACTTGTCATTAGAGGATTGCGGTCAATAGTGACAGTATGTCAGGTGAGTCACTTAGCTCTCAATATGTTTCTAGTAATTTGAAATATACAAATCAGATGTCCAACTGAAATAATGAAAGTGATAAAATACAATCTAAAAGTTCACGAATTTTTTATTTAGGCACTTTACTATAATTATCTCCCTAGGAAGAAAAAACTACTTGTCATTAGAGAATTGCGGTCAATAACGGGAATATCTCATGACAGTAGTGAAAAAGTACCTACTGTCTTGCACCACAGCATGAGACCTCCTTAACACAGAGCCACACTCTGAAGTGATCTGATGTATCTCTGTGCCCAGACTAATAATCTATTTTTCACCATATTTAATCAGATCAAAACGTAATAACAAATAACATCTGATCATTAGTACCACTCAAAATACCCCATATCGACGAACGTCAAGTAGCTCTAATAGACCTCTCAATGCCATATCTGAAAACAGACAGTATTTTGTTGTGGGTTTTTGTACGTCATCGAGTCATGTCCTCCAACAATGTTTTCATTTAGAAAGGATCTGATGCACAAAAACAATACGATATTAGCGTAATGGCTGCTAATGACTATAGCGATATTTCAAGCCAGTTATGCACAAGAAGTTACATTAATGTTTGCTGTAAGTAGTTGTGGATACGGTTCTGAGTTTCCCCAGATTAATAATTGCCAACAGTGAGGTGTTCGCCTTAATAGACGTCAAGACGTGATGAAGAAGCGTCAAAAATAATATAGATATTTCTGAACCATTAGCGAAAATAAAACTAAGCCGGTAGTAGAATCATACGTTTATGCCAAATTAATGATATCGTCACCATGAAAGCCTCACCTGAATGTACTATTTTAAATGACATATTCAAATACCACTTGCATGGAAACTACAGAGACTTAAATAGCTGAATAAGGTCAGTACTTACTCTACAGCCTGCCTGAAGTTCTGCATCGCAAACTGCATGAAGGAATATTTCCCATTTGGTGGCGTTGGACTGTTTGGTGACTGTGCCCCTTCGCTTCTTGGAGGCGGGGACCTAGCACGATGTTCCTGTTCTCTATTAGGTTTCGAGTTCGAAGTAATCATCTCCAACCTCTCAAGTGGTGGTGACCGCGTTCTTAGAGCTGATGGAGCATCTCTTGATGCTTTGAGCTGCATCTGGAAATAATGACATTAAAGTTAATATAATACACAATACGTTTGCTTCTTGAACAGCTTTCCGAGTAATACAGTCGCATAAGATACATATGTATATTCTACATATAAAACACAGCCTCTTCTGATAGCTCTAGCGAGTTACTTGTATCTGCTAAAAATCCTAGCTACTTCATAGATGGTCGCAGTATGACTATAATATATATTGAATCCCTAAGGTCCTTGTGAAACACATAAAAAGTAAATAGTTACTTCTTCTACAAATTCTATTGATAAGATTGAGTTTGGGTGTGAACCCAATCATTCGCTGCATTATGATCCTTACCCGTTGCCTCAGATATACAGGTCAAGGTCATTATAAAGTAACTTCCAACTAGCTCTCTTATCTTTTTTGATGGTACCTCTCAGTTTTTTCCTGCTTCTATCATACTCCTCCCATAATTGCTGTTCTTGATTTGCGATCCATCTTGAATACGGGTACTGGTTGTTGGACATGGAATATCTTTAATGTCAAATACTATGAAGTAGTGACCGCTTAGTGACTCCTTATCGCTTTCTTCCCAGTGTGTCACAGTAGCTGCAATATTCTCTGTAGCAAATGTGAGATCTAAAGTTGAGGAATAATTCTGCCTTTGAAAAGTTGGCTTCTCTCCTCTATTCAGTACCACCAGATCATGGTAGCGGCTCAATCTGTAATAATTTTATCCCTTCGATCAGTTCTGTGTATACCCCACTGCTGGGATTTGACATTTAAATCGCATTCTATTCTTGCTTTTTCTTTGTTTCGTCTAATTTGGCCAGCAGTCGTATCTAGTACTAACCCTTGGGAATTGCAACCCACCAACTGTCATATTTAATTGATGACTGGGCGTCCAGTATAACTCTGAGCATAAAAAAACCTGTTCTTCCCATCATATTGCACATATTTTCAGTAGACTTAGGAGACCTAGGAAGTTAACCTATTAGCATTATTGAGGAAGTTCATTGGGAATTATCGGGTTGAAGAATAGGATTCTTGAGTGTTTGGAAATATATTATTAGCCGCTCTATAACGCTCAAGTCAAAGCTCGATACCGCTTTCCGATTGAACATGTGTAGGGTATGGCGGGAAGAAGACAGGTGTCGTCATAGTTTATAAATTTTAGCAGCACTCTGGAATCAAGTATAGCTATCTAGAAAAGCAATACTTCAAGTAAACATAAATCGCCTCCTCAGAAGTATTACCGGTGACTGGACGAATGTATACGGCATGGCGGCGACAAAACACCGCAAGTGTTTTGACTTTGGAATAACGACTTCCTCTTACTGGTGTCTAACAGTAGGTATCCAAAGTTTCACTGAAATAAATGGGATAATTTTCTTTGAGTGTTTTACGTTCATCGTCACTGATAATTTGATATTTCTGGAAATTGATAAAATGTGTAAAAAATAGCGGTATCTGGTTATTGGGGCTATCTTATTTCAATAGATCACACACTTTCCATACTGTATGGCTGTTAGGCTGTCGTTCGTTGGTTCGTTCGTTGTCTTAAAGGCTCAAGCTCATGCTGAGGAGTAGCCAAGAAGCATGAAACAGCTGTCCATAGTCTTTGTTCGGATGGATGAACGCAGAGCATGTGTAAAAAAAATACTTTTACAATAATCAAATGTTTTGCTCTTGGGAAAATAGTATCACATAGAATATACTCTCGTCTTAAAAGAAAAATATTGTTATTTTCATAATGATCTCAAAATTTAAGACGCCGCTCCCAACCCTTTGTGAATCGGCTGCAGTTAATGTCGATAGAAACAGTATATTCACAAGTTTTTAATTATGGCTGATATGCATTGTGTAAAGGGAACAGTGTTGCGCTATGGCTAAATCTTTCCCGTACAATGATTGCTATCTTCCAATTTGTTGAAAACTCCGTTCCAATAAATGAGGATTAAATAAACTAGAAATCGGTTGAAAAATGTACTGAGATGAGTCCAGTTGATCGCGCAGTAGTACAGATGTGCACATAACGTGTCTAATTGTGATTTAATAGCTAGTGCAATTAGCTGCGCATTCTGTTGGTGGGCAATTATAACGATGGAAATAGATGCCGAGCATAGAATACCTCACTTCCGGAACCACTAAACCATGGGAAAATAATAGCAGCTAAGCATGATCTTGCTAAAATACTGTCATTTGGTCAGTTTCATTTGACATACTGTCATGAGTGTTCAATACACGCCGATTGATTGATCTATTTTTTCGCTTATCTATTCCGTCATGGTTGTAAAAATCATCGCTTAGGCCTAGCGTAATAGATGTATACGTTTCGAATCCAGAGAATAGCATTTAACGACGTCTGGTCTACTAATAACCGTACCTGGGTTGTACAAATATTATCCTAGACTCTATTTCTGTTGTCCGATTTACATAAACAAACGATTTTCTGGACTACTCAAGAAAATGGAAAAAAGGTGTTAAATCCTCAAGTTGTTGGTGCAACACCTTCGTTGATAAGCAATGAGCAAATTGTGTCATTAAAAGTCATGTATTTGACTCATTTGTTATTCAGCTAACTATTCATAGACCAGAGTGAATGATGAACTGTTTTAATTTACAATCATAAAAATAATCACTAGAAACCAGTAGTAACATCCCAAACATTTATGATTCAACCTTCACAGGTTTGATGCAAATATCTTCATTATATCGCTTTTCGAAAATAAATACTCAATTATATCGTACAGTATAAATTGAGCTAGTCTGCTAAAGTTAACTGGTGACTGAAGTAAAACTTTCGAAATTTCTTAAACGGTTACGATGTTTGAATTGTTATTTTTAATTGTCATGCTAATTGGCGAGAAGGTACTAAAAACCATATTACTTATTCTCGCCTAACTAGATCGGTTTAGCTTTGTCAAAACGTTTCTGCTAAAAAATCGATGGTCTGTGTTTCTATGTATTTCAATTTTATTGTACTTATGGGATTTTCAAAACAGCTGAAAGCAAACATTCGGAATAACGTTTTTTTATATTTTTCACTTTTCACTACTGATGTTGAGTCTTTATATTTTTATTATTATGATTCTAATAGAGACATTTGTTATTATTATTACTATCATATCATAGCGTGGGAGGTAGTGTGAATCAATCTACTTGACTTCATTTTTTTTTCATCTAACTCATCGAAATATATGCTGACCAATGGAATAATGCAATATTTTCAAATGACTACGAAGACCTACTTTGTGGAATCGCGTATATTCGGTTCAGATTCTAAACAGTTACTGTTTACCGTATGAATGCACCAACTGCAGTGACAGATGTTGTACAATATTAATTCTATAAAATACATCAGGACGGAAAAATTTTACACAGACAGACAGGCATTTGCGAGTAGCAAATGGTATCGCCTGCTCATTAGGAGATGATTTTAAAGTACTGTTAAGGCTCAGTGAGGCGTAAAGGTAGATGAGATTAAGTTTTGTTATTACTCTAATCCACGCAATCTGCTAAATGCATCTGAAAATGCATTATTCGGCATGTATGTTTCACCCTTCACTTCTCGCTGAAAATTGCTAAGTAAATTCTAAAGTCCATGCGATCAAACAGAAAATGTTCTGGGATTATGCCTGAAGGGGTCTGGAGATGCTCATGCAAAATATTGTAAAGTTGCCATACAGTGCTTTACTATAATGTCTGCTCCCAATTATTTATTGAACAGATCAAGCTGGCACTTACAAGCTGAAGATGATGGAACTTATGCGTGAATACTATATGTAGAAGCGTGAAAATTTCGGACGCTTGTGCTACATCATTTTGAAGCCAGTAGTCACTTTGTTTCCAGGTCCCAATGCTTCCTTTATTGCTCTCATTACTAACTATGTAACTGGTAGTGAGTGTGTAAGCAAATAATTTCCGTAAGCCATCAAAAAGGTACTAGACATCCAGATAAAACAGATATACTAAATTTTATGACTGATATCTAATTAGTTGTCGACTGTTTTCGGTAATGTATGTTGGGTGAGATTGGTCAAGCCTTGACAACTCAATCAGAGTTTTATATGAAGAAGAAGTGTAGAACTGGCAATTTTCATCAGACAGAATTTCTGTATCACTACCAATGAACATTCCTCTTATATCCCCACCATGTCTATATTGTAACTTCCGTTCCCATGTACTTCAACGGGTATAGAATTAGTATAAACGTAATGTGAAACTCATATAGTCATCTTATCTAACAAGACATAATCGCAAAAAAAGTAAAAGTTTTCACCTCTCATCAAGAGGTCGTTGGATATTTGCCAAGAAGTTTCACATACCATATAGAATGCAATGTAACGACTTTTCCACGTTGTGGTAACTTGAGATTTAAACAAGGCAGTACAATTTCACCTTGGCAAATTCATTGGTTTTATTCGAAAACACAGGCGCGCTTTCTTCATGGACAATTCTAAAATGCTATTAATTTACTATTAATTTACCATGGGCGTCGTTTCTCAGGGACACGAAAGCTCAACATTCACAACTTCACTACTATAGAGAGCTAAGACGGATTGTCAGGCGGTCTGTGGGAACAGCTAGAAGTCAAATATTTCTCTCAGTTACTGCTCGTATCAGCAGTGCTAGATTTACACTTGCTTTTCCCACTCGACCAGGTTGCAGAGGTTTCAATTCCTGCTGTCTACGTCCACCTCATTGTATGTCGTTCACCATCCCCTAGGTCGGCCTGTACGACAAACTTTTTTCAATGACTATATAACGAATGTTCCAGAATTTACGGAAAATATAAATTAAATAATGTCCCCGAATCTTGGAATTTGCATATTCAGCATAGCTTTGTGTACAAATTGGGAATTGTTAGGTCTTGACTCGATGATGCATCATTTTCCTTCCTTCTCCAATGCATTAGTACCTACTGGTAGGCCTATTTTTGCCTAAATTAGATGGAACCGTAAACCATACAACCGTTCAACGCTACATGGTACTTGCCGTTTCACTCGTTGATCGGAATAGGCTCTATAGATGA